TGCCTAGTCCAGCTGCTTCCTGGAGATACAATCTGGTAACTCAAGTGTAGCTCTGTTTGTTCAGATCTAGTGCAGAAAATTTTTGGAGCTTTCAGGCATAATTTATCAGTCCACCTCTAAGCACCACAGAATGCAAGTAATCACAGAATCACCTGGGTTGGAAGGGACCTCAAGGATCACGTAGTTCCAGCCCCCCTGCCCAGCAGGGCCACCAAACACACACATTCAGATCAGGTTGCCCAGGACCCCGTCCAACCTGGCCTTGAACACGTCCAAGGACGGGGCATCCACAACCTCCCTGGGCAGCCCGTTCCAGGGCCTAACTACTCTCCTTGTAAAGAACTTCCCCCTAACATCCAACCTAAATCTTCCCTCCCTCAACTTGGATCCGTGAGTTATCCAAGTAATTGACTCTTTATTTCACGATCTAGGAGAAATGAGGGTGTAGTGTTAAACCAGTTGTTAGTATGTAATATCTGAATCTATTGCCTCAGCTAAGCGTAGTAAGAGAGAAGAGAAAGGGCCTGACTCAGTGCAACTCCCACTGCCTTTCTGGATCCTAGTGCTCTAGAAATCATTCCACAGGTCAGTGTCAGATAATTTGGTTTACATCTTTGTGTTTTCTTCTTCATCTGACATACTGGTGAAAAGCATGCTGCACAGAGCTTGCTTCATCTGAATCCTCAGTAGTGCTGGCTGCCTTCTACAGAAAAAAAAAAAAGGTCCTCTTGAGATGCTTCAGCAATGGTTGTTAGAAACAAGATTAATTAGTCCCCAAAACTAAAAGCAAATATTTGAATTGTTGAAGCGCATTGAAACAGTTATTATTTCTGATCGTTGTGGGGATCCTTTAAGGTCCTTCTTCATTGTGGAAGTAATTTTGTTCTGATCTGAGATTTTAAAGGATAGAGTTTATCCTCAGCACTTGAGATTCCCAAATGGGAGGAGAGGGAAGATGAGATAGAAAAAAGGTGACGTTTTTGAGCTATCTCTGGGTTCACGCATTGATCTTTGCATCTTTTTTTCTATGTTACAGGCCACAACTTCCACCAACTGGATTCTGGAGTCACAGAACATTAATGAATTGAAATCTGAGATCTACTCATTAAAAGGACTCCTCCTGAACCGGTATGGGTGGAATATATTGATAGAAGATGATTGTGTGGGGAAGGGTTGCTTTCTGGGATTCTCTCAATCATAGAGAGGAAAAGCATTTCCAGCAGGAACTAGCTCTATATCCTGTTATTGCTATTTTAATAATACCACTCCACTATCACTTTCTATTTGCAGGTCTCAAAATGCTTTTCAAATTTGCCTTAAATCACAGAGTGCTCTGGGTAATTAATAATTACTAAGATTTTTCCTTTTTGTTTTTGATTGAGAAATTCTCTGCCGTTCCCAACAGGGAGGATGCCTCCCTCCCACCTGGTTTGTGGGGTTGAGTGCATCTGAGCTGGCCACCTCTGCTCTGCTGTAGAGACAACCAGAGGTGGATGCAGTTCATGTGATCTGTTCATGGTTAGGGATAACCAGGTCAAATGACACTTCAGCAGAACCTGTTCTTCTCCACTGGCTCACTCAGGCATAGACTTATTATCTATAGATGTCTGAAATGATAATAATACAAATGCCAACCTATGGACTAAGTTATAAGGCGAGGGATCAGATCTCAGTGTTTATCAGCTGTTGACCCTTTGATATGACTCCCTAACTTCCTCCTTCATACAAATAAGTCTTCTCAAAGCATCCTTGGCACAAAGTCTTTCTGCTGTCTACTGATGGCCAGCAGTGGAGAAGCAGCAGCTCTCCAGAGTGGGCAAGGGTGAGAGCTGGCATTAGGGAAAAATCACTCTTTTATGCAGCTTTAGGCATAAAAGCTGTTTTAGTTGTTCACTTTCCAAAAAAAAAAAAAAAAAAAGGCAAATGATTCTACGAGGAGGCAGCAGCAGCAGAGCCCAGAAAGACTCCAGAATGAATTTGTTGATTGCATTTATGATACTGGTTGAATGCAGATGTTCACTTATTGCACTCTCAGGAGATGGAGGCTAGATCAGCAGAGTTCTTCCATGGCTGGTGGTGGCAGTGAGAAGAGGGAGGTGAGAGCAGCTTCTGTTCCTAGTTAAGCGTATGAAAATGGACACTGTTGTGCACAAGCACTCACTGTAAGAATGTAACCAACTTTGGTCTGCTCTGCTTTTACCCATGGCACAGCCAGTTCACCTGAGGGGCATGAGAATCCCCTCCACACAGCATCCCAGCCACGAATCTGATACCTTTTCATACTCCCACTTTGCACATACAAAAGCAAGGATGCATGGGGAGTTCCAAACCAGACATGCTTTTCTGCTTTACTCTTCATGATGGATCACTTTCTGAGGGCACTACCCTCCTTACTGGACTTAAATTTGTCCTTTTTGGAACTTACATTCTCCTTTTAGAGATGGGCATTAGCTTGGCACTGTCAAATCCTTAAAGTCCATGTGGAGAATACTCACTGAGGACAGTGCAGCCCTATTCTCAGCTGGAGCAAGTCAGTATGTCTCCATTCAAATCAGAGAAGCTAAGGCAGTTTGCAGCAGCCAGGATCTGGCCCAAACATGTAAAGTGCGTGCTGGGACTAGGAGATAGAGTCTGGACTGTAATAAGGCAGCATGCAATAGCTGTGTATCGCAGTGGAAGCGAGAGCCAGGTGGTGAAATTTCTTGGCGGAGGCACAAGGAGCAGATTTCTCTGACTTCTTACTCCAGTGGGAATTTTCCTTTCCAATTAATTAGTGATTGTTTTATAAGGGACACCCATGTCTTTCCAGAGGCAGCATTCCCGACTGCTAACTTACTCTGTGAAATTGGCCAAACAAAATCAGTTCTGACTCAATTACCGGTTGCTTGTAAAGCACTTCAGCACTCTGCTGAAGAAATGAAGTGGCCTCGTTCTTGTTCATTGAAGTTTCAGTCCTGTTTTACATGGCTTCCCCAGTACAAATACTATTCTCTCTAATGACAACCCCTCTGTTTTTAATAAAAGTCCCTTTCTTTCCTTTTCTTCCCTCCCTTCTCCCCCCTAAGGAGGCAGTTTCCTCCCTCCCCTTCAGCTCCTAAGATCCCATCATGGCAGATCCCAGTGAAGCCAAGCTCACCTTCCAACCCTGTTGTCGCCAACCACAACAGCAGCAGCGACATCTCACCTGTCAGCAATGAGTCCACCACCTCCTCACCGGTCAAGGAGAACCACAGTCCTGAGGGTTCGAAGGTCAGCTGCCATCTGCTGAGCACTGAGGAAGGCAACAAGGCAGTGATTGATGTCAAGAGCCAAGTGCGGATGGAGGTGCAGGGTGAGGAGGAGAAAAGGGAAGACAAAAGGAATGAAGAAGAAGAAGAGGACGATGAGGATGACGACGTGAGCCACGTGGATGAGGAGGAATGTATGGGTGTCCAGACTGAGGACCGGAGAGGAGGGGATGGGCAAATTAATGAGCAGGTGGAAAAGCTACGAAGACCTGAGGGGGCCAGCAATGAGAATGAGATTGACTAAGGCACCCTGGCTTCTGCTGATGCTGCTGTACATCTTCCCTAGCCTCCTGCACTGTCCCTGGTGCTCTCCCATTTTGTGGAGTGCCACCATCCCTTCCAGTGATTCTTCCATGATTGACCTTGAGCAGGGTCGTGATTGCCTGGTGAACAAGGTGGGCCGTTTCACCACATGGCTGTGCAGCGTTGCAGTGGCTTCTTCTCCCCTCCCAGGCCCACCTTCCCCCCATGAGCTGGGGTCACTGCCTAGGCTGGAAGACCAATCGCCTTACCATGCACCACAGCAACAGAATAAGTCCCCTTACAAAAACATCCAGCATCTCCTGAAGTGGTCAGCCTCTTTGCTACGTCCTGGAGTCCCTCTGCCCCGTTTCAGAAACCTGTCTGCCCTGAAATCTTTGATTTCACAAGCCTTTAATCCCCATATAATCCCCAAAACAGTTCTCGCTGTTTCCCACAATATCCCTCAATTTTATTTCTCAAGCTAATTGGTATTCTATTGCCAAAAAAAATAACATTTTAATTCCTCACCAGATCTCAGGCTCAGCCACCTTCTTCCAAGCCTTATGCCAAGCCTCGAATTCCTGAAACTACCTAGTGTTTAAAAACACTAAATTTCTGGTGGGGTCCAAAGAACACTATTTCCACCCCATGTGCTCTCTTCCATTCATCAAAGTGGCCTCTTGCTAGGGACCAAGTCCAGGTTTCACGGCCACAGTAAAATGCATGAGAACAGGTGGCTTTGTTACTGATTGCTCCCCTGTAAAAGGACGTCTTAAAAGATGACCCCACTCATGGCAATTACTCCCCTTCTTCCTCCAAAGACAAGGAGCTAGCATCAGTTTTTGACATCTATTATAGCTGTCCTGAATGAGATGATATCAGATGCTGAAATAAGTGGTTAATTTTGAATCTTTGCAATGGTTCTGAGCTTGTTTTTCTCCCTAAGTGAGGAGAAAACCCATATTAAATGATCAGCTGAGACCTGCACCTACCCAGTGACAGGCACCTGCTTCAGCAAGGCAGTCTTTACAAGAGAGAGAACAATTCCAGCTCTGAGGTACACCACAGGCCCTCTTGCCCAGTCCAGCCATTATTTTTTTTTGCCTTTTTGGGGCTATATACAAATCAAAACGGTGAATTTTGAAACCTCTCATTTGCAGCATTGTGTTCTCAGCTGTTAAAATGGTGGTGTCCAATTATATTACTCACTGCATCAGAGCCTCTTAGCGGAGCAATTCTTGTAACAACTGAGTCTCACTGTCCTCACTAAGCAAGCGTGCTCGTCCGTGTGATCATGTATAGATTTCAAATATAAAATATGATTGTATATAATTGTAATAAATATGAGTTACCACTATTTAACACCAGGCTGTTACTGGATTGCTGTGGCTCTTTTTTGGGGGGAGAAATATACAGGGTGGCAAAGGGAGGAAAGTGGGCGCACTGTGGAAATTCAGTCCTTATAAAATGTTTTCTTGGTGGTTGGTTTATTTTCTAGCTGCTCCAGTCCTAGGTTATGTCAGCAGGAGGCAGCGCAGAGAATGGTGGAAATGCAATACACAGCTCAGTGCAGACAGCTGCGACAGTACCGTAATTCTAGGCTGCCTCCATTGTTGCAGAGGGTGAGATGGTGGATCGTGGGTGAGTAAAATGCAGCTCCTCTGGTCCCCTTCCTCCCAGCAGGAGGCTCTGCAGGGTGCAGAATGCAACGCCGCACTCCGTTCCACCCCAGCAGCAGGAGGTGCTGAAGGCAGTGTGTGAGATATCCCATGGCCCTCAGCCTTATCTGCCAGCAGAGAATGCGGTGCCGTGTCCCGTGACTGCTCTGAGCCCTGCCATGTCAGTACAGAAGCCATTGAAAGAAGTGGCATCCAGCACTTGCAGCTACTGCCGTCCCATCTTTGTTCAACAGAAGTATTTGGCTCCCTCCTAAAAAAGAGGGATTTACTTGATTCCTGAGTATTTGGGTGTCTGGTACACAGTGACATTTTCCTGCTCAGGGGGAGCGAAAGGAACCTTCATATTACTGTATTTAGACCTGCTGCTGGATGTGATGATTTCTCATTCCTTAAATGGACGAATATCTTCCCCAGGAGTGAGTGTGTGTGTGTGTGTGTGTGTGTGTGTGTCTCTGCTGTTTAACGTTCACAAAGAACGTCACATTTAGCTAAAACAGGGCAAATTTGAAAGTGTTTAAAAGGACAGATTTGTATTAAGAGATGGCACTTTTCATTTCTCCAAGCCAAGAATCCTCGTGAAAAGAAAACACGACTGAACACGAGGATGTAATGAAAAAGTATTGTCCTGCCTGTGTACATTTTATATACATAGAAGGTTTTGAAAATAGAAAGTGCCTGGACAACAGCAGTTGGTGAAATGTGGAAAATATGTTGCTGAGGTATGTGCCTTGCAAAGTGACTTACGAGGTTTACAATACAACCATCTCTGAGGGTTCATTTTTTCCCCCTTTTCCTTCATGTTACCCGTGTTCAATCCATTTACCATTAAATTTCTGCAGAATAAAAGGTAGATTTCCTCATCTACCCTTTTCACTCTCTTAGCTTTTGCTTCTTACAGCTTTTACCAGCTGGATAGGTCATGTTTTTTCCTTTCCCCAACCAGATACAAGTCCCAGCAAATTCCCTCGTAGTCCACAGCTGAAAAAAAACCATCTCTGAGCCTCCTGATGGGGTCCTATGTACTCTGTTGAAGTGACCTAACCCTCCAGCATAGAATTTGGAAGAAACCAGACCTTCTTAGCAGCTGGTATTTTTGGGAGTCATGAGTGTCACTCCTCAGTCTCTCCTTTCTTGTCTCTCAGCAGCACAGCAGGAGTTTCAGGGCAAGTATTTTGGTCTTGATGAACCGTACTGACTGCTAACTTGTGATTATTATTATTATTATTGCTAAAAACAAGCTTCTTGTATGAGCTGCTGCGTGAAATGTTTAGCCCACCAGACAGTAGACACTGAGAGTGCCATCATGTTACCTGAAAGGTGACCAGGTAGTCAGCCCTTCTTCTGCACACACAACAAGGCAGCACAAGCAGTCACTCACCCTGTGGCTTACTCAAGGACTGTGTAACCAGCCTTGGTTTTGGCACAGAAAGAAAAGTAACAGCATGGGCAGGTGGGTGCAGTGGGTTTACTGCATGGTTTCTATGGGTTTTTGGAACTAAGAAGAGAGAGAGTGAAGAGAACTAGCTTCCTCTGAACAGTGTCATTTGAGCACATAGCAGTGAAGCCCTTTGAGCCTGTGTTCTCCCCTAGGGGGGATAATGTCAGGCTGGCACTTTCCAGTAATTTGAGGATATAAACCCTCCCCTTTCAATAGCTGCAAGAGAACGTGGGGAGCTCAAAACATGTGACAAAGTGGGAAAGGATTAAGTGAGACACGGCTCCTGATCCTCTTTGTCCAACCCTCCTCACCCCCAGCTGTAACCAGTTGGCCCTACGTGCACCTTTGTAGAATCAAGAGTTCCTTTATTGTATTTTGATGCCCAGGGTGAAACCTAGCAGTGTGTGAGATCAGAAGGGATGGACAGCAGGGTCCCCCATGATCTTGCTGTTTGCTGCCCAACGTTTTACAGAACATTTTACTTGCAGTGTGCCTCAGTTTTCCCAGATGATGGCAAAATTACCATCTGGTGTGCACTGGGATGTGACAAATAAAGGCTGCAGAGAAAGCAACTTGAGGAAGCAGATTGCATTGTAGGTCCTGCAGGTGACACAAACTCCCCTTATTGGCTGTGCCCTGTGGTGCAGTGATTGCAGCCCCCTGCCCAGCTGCAGCCACTCTCTCTGATTGCTTGGCTCCTCTGGCCTGGACTGCACAGCTGTGGGTGATGAGCTGAACCACCCCCCAGGTTTAGAGGCAGACATTTTAGATGTGGTCTTTGTGTGGTGGAGCTGAGCTACTTCTAGCAGGTAAGTGATTTTTAAACGTTTTCTTTCTTACTTTTGGCTTTGGTGGAGTGGGTGAATGGGGGAGAATGGGCTGCTTTTCCAGGGGTACCTTACTTTAGTGTGAGGTTTACTGCAAGGTGGCAGCAGGGCAGTAGGGAAAGCTGTGATGCTGCCTGGAGTAGGGCTGAGGGAAAAAACAGTCTGCTTAGCTGCTTGTTTGCAATGCTTGCTACAGAAATAGAGGCTGCTTTTGCCTTCGCTTTGGTAGGGCTGTGTGGTACCTGAAGAAACCTGGGCTGGATAGCAAGGCCACGTAGCTTTTTGTTGCAGCCTTGCCGTACTGAAGTCAAGATTTGTAAAGTTCTTCTGTGTGGTGGAGCCTCGTGTACAGCACCAATTGTATGTGCTGGTGAGCCAGCATGCCAAAGCCTGATACCAAGCCTGAGCTCAGTGCCTTCCAGTCTGGGCTTTGAGCTCTGCCCCACTGCAAGTGCACACCTTGTAAGGGGCTTGGCCTCCAGGAGCTGAGAACACAAATAAAGCAATGCTGGGAGGTGAAAAGGAGGAAATTATTTACCTGAGGGCACAGGAGAGAGTGTCCAGCTTTCTTAATTTTCTCTTTCATCCTCACATCTCCCAGATCATTACACTTCCTCAAGAGTCAGGCTCTGAAGGCACCTTTTGAGCTGCGTCCATCTGTTGTATTGATGGAAGTCTGGACCTTACCACTGCCTGTGCTGTCAGGAAAAAAATAGTAAATAAGATAGTGGAAGTGTACCTAATTGAATTCATGGGGAGCACGAAGGACACAGGGAGTCCAGGTCCTCCTCTTGCTGAGCACTGGAGGCTCTGAGCTGCACACTTGTGGATCCAGGGGCTGGCATGGTCTCTCCCAGCTCAGGGAAAAAAACAATCCCATCCTCAAAAGGGAGCAAGCACTAACCTAATAAAGGCACCAGCTGGACGAAAGGAAAACCGGCTCTTTGGAAAAAAAAAAAAAAACCCTTTCATTAGAAAAATAATATATTTCATCCTAATAAGGTAAAAATATTTGAAATGGGGCAGAAGTGAGCACTAGGCAGCATCTGTCAGGCCCTTTCTGGAAAGGGGAAGATTATTAAACTCAATTATAATTTATTTTTGTAAAGTGTCTTTCAGACTAAAAATCTCCCCAGATGCTTTGCAAGGACTGCTCAGGGGTTACTTGCAGCATGGAGCATCTCAGTGTGCCCCTCTTCCCTGCAAGCCCTTCTTTTCTGCATCTACTGAAGGATTTAACCCTTCAGGTTTTTCTCTTCTGTTTTTGTGCGAGTTATGAGAGATCTTTTATGATGTGAGCTGCAAGAACATGCCCAAGGAGTGGAGGGGCAGTTGAGGTTGCACTGTTTTTCTGTTTTAGATTAAATACTTGGTTTCTCTAGGACAGTTCCTCCTGATTGAGGAGGTGATTGGTTGGTTAGGATTGATTCAGAGCATCCAGGACTACGACTGGCTTCTTTGTTGCCTATTTTTCCCTTTGCCAGCCTTCTTGTCCATCTCTCAGCCACTTTATCTGCCTGGTGTGTCTGGTTTGTCAGCCCTCCTGCTGCTGGTTCCAGCCTGCTGCCATGCCTGCCTGTCTCCTCTTGCCCCATGCTTTTCCCCTTTGCTCTCTACACTTCAGACACAGGCTGCTTCCAACTTTATCCATTCACTTTGATAAGCTAGCTAAGTAACTGACTTAATTAAAGTTGTGTGGATGTTCCTCCATCCCTCTGAACAAGTTTGCTTTAGTTAAAGCATTTCAAACTGATGTGTGCATGGACAGAAGGCTGTGTGTTAAACTGCTGCTGTCCTCCAATGCAGATGCATGGTTTGGTGCTTCCTGCCCTGGTACAGCATGAACAGCAGGTTTCATCTCTGTGTGCCTGCCTGTCTGCTGCTATGGCTTCGTTTGTTCCTTGCTGTACGGTGATAGCAGCCCTTCCCAGCAGCAGACACAGGTTCAGGGTGAGATGGAGGCAGGCAGTGGGCACAGGACTGTGGGCGACAGAGGGGCTCAGGGCTGTTGGTACCAGGAGCACGAGACAGAACCCTGCCCTGTGGGAAGGGAAGAGGGCAGGCCGGGCTCCTTAGTCTGCCTGTCAGATAAATCTTGGTCTGTTTACTTAAATCCTCAGTGTTTCTTCATTTGTTTGTTTAAAAGTTTCCCTGCCAAAAAAGAGCAAAAGGAAGGAGGGAAGCTGCCTCCATTGGCCACCCCCACAGCCAGGATGGGGCTGGGGCACTTTGGGGACAGGAGGAGCGGAGGTGGCAGAGCACCCTGCAGCCTGGGGTCACGGCCCTGCTCCCATCTGCAGAGCACCCAGGTGAGGGACCCAGCGAGCTCCACCTTGCCACCAAAAACTTGTCCTCCCTCCTGTTGTTTTCTCTCCCCACAATAAGTGAGACAAAAGAGAAAGTAAACCAAAATGTTGCAAGGTCACGGAAAAACTCTGGAAGTGCATTACATACCCACAGCTTATGACTGTAGCGGGCACAATAAACATCAGCCCTGCAGGTCCTTCACATGTTGGTGTGTGCTGTCACCCAGACTAGGGGCTTCCCTTGTCCCCTCTTGAGTACTATGCAAACCTGCAGAAAATAGGCATGTACAAGAATGCATACACATAGTCATGTGTGCTCTCACTCTTTCCCAATTTATTCAAATTAAACTTAAGTTTACCATTGATTTGTAGAGAGAGAGACAGGAATCTTTTATCTGTGTATGTGTGCGTAGTTGAAGTTGGAGTTTCACCAGTGAAACTCCAAAGTTCTTGGTGATCTGCATGCTTTTTTGTTTGCAATGGGTACGGGCTGCTCGTTGACTTTCAGAGAGGTCTTAAAAGTTCATGTTCCAATTGAAATGAAATGAGATTTTACTGTCAAGTTGCAACAGCTTCAGTCTTCAATGGAATGCAAGTGGGGGCAAAGGAAAGAGGGGGATCTGCTTAGTTTCTATCCTTCCCCTTTCCTCCAGAGCTCCCTCTGTGAAAGGCCTTGCAGTGACCTTGCAGGATGGCACTGTGTGTTTGTAAAGCAGTGTGCCTGACTGCACCAGCCCACAAGTGTGTGTGGAACTCAGCTGGGCCGTGAGCAGTCTGTGTGCACTGTGCAGCAGGGCTGTTGGTGCCAACGCTTACTTTATGGAAGGTTTGTGCTTTGTATTTATAGAATCATAGAATGGCCTGGGTTGAAATATAATGATCGTCCAGTTCCAACCCCCCTGTTATGTGCAGGGTTGCCAGCCACCGGACCAGGCTGCCCAGAGCCACATCCAGCCTGGCCTCGAATGTGTTATTATGTCCAATGCAGACTCATAGCCAGGGACCCTGACTGCTGCTCATCTACGCTGAAATCCCATTCCATTCCAAATTTCATTCTCTAGAGGTATGGAGATGGGCTTATTTAACAGACCTATTTCCCCAGCAAGTCTCCTGTCCTTTCTTGAAGTCGGCGTGCTGTGTGAAGCCAGTGCTGAGCCTCAGTCCTTGCAAGCTCTGAGTTATGCCCAGTATGTGTTGTGCGTCATAACAGCTGCCTTTCCTCTACCAGTAAGCATCAGAACTCAGAATTTCCTTCTGCCTGGGTGTAGGAGGCATTGTGCTACCAGAGTCACCATCCTCCCAGCCAGGCCTGCTTTTCTGCACTTAGTGCTCATCTGAGCAAGCTGTGAGGAGTTTCTGTGGCACTCGTGGCTCTGCACACCTGCTGGTGACTGCTGGGCATCCTGTGCTCACAGCTCCTGTGGGACGGCTGCCTGCTAAAGAGGAGCGCAGTCTGGAGCTGATGAGTTTGTAAGAAAGATTGCTACAAATGGAGTGAGTGCCTGCTGCAGTATGGAAACCATTCCTTGTCGGTCTGGACAGAAGGAGAGGTGTAACCCAAAGTACTGTTTTCCTAGTAACCCACATAAATATCCACGCTAGGCTCTGTAAGAAGTACTTAGACAAATTGTGATGATCATCTTTCAGAGCCACCAGGATGGCCATTACCCCTGCTGCAGGCCAGCACTGATAGTCTGTTGCCTTTATTTCTGTCTGCGTTGGCCCATGTGGCTCAGCAAGGACAGGTCCCTGTGCTAAGGCTGGTTTATTTAATGACATCTGAAAAACAGGATGATGGGAAGCAGCAGCAGAACCATCTGGTCTCCCATTCTGTGTCCTAGAATACTTGGAATGCTTCTTCGTTTGAGGTAGTTGAACTTTTGCTGCCTGTTTTGGTTTTAAGTCTTATGAATCATATGGAAAGGGAAAGCAGGGCTCTATTTGGGCTGGGCTGGTGCTGAGGGATGTTCCTGCTGAGGGTGCCTGTGCTGGTGGCTGCTGCTTATTGCTTGTCACGTGCTGAAGAGCCAATGTCCTGTGCCTCTGTAAAACAGGCAGTGTAGTTTTGTGAATACATGTTAACTGTGGGGTTCTGTGCTCAAAAAATGCTGTTACAGGGATTGGCTCGATGTAATCAGTGTACAATAGCAGCAACAGTGCCCAATTGTTGTCCAGACCTTAAAGCAAGATGCCTTGCTGGGTGTCTGCTGCCCTCCCTCCTGGAGGCTCTGAGTGCAGTGGATGCAGAGCTGCAGCATCACCCATCGCGAGGGCTTGGAAGGAATGCAGTAGTGAGGCTTTGATTTGTTCAACTCGCTGCCTCTCCCTCAATTTTAGCCATTCTTTTATGAAGTGCAGTGAGAGTTCTGCAAGCAGGCAAGTTCCAGCAGGAGCTTCCAAGCTGTGAGTCGTGTCATGTCCCCTCAGATAGACTGTGATGTAAAAATCCCCGGTGCTGTGGGCAGAGCTCCAGAGAGAGCAAACCTCTGCTCTGAGGTCGGATTAGGAGCATGTTCAGATAATGACATCTGAAAACAGGATGGCTGGGAGCTGCAGCAGAGCAACCAGGGGGCTTTGAAAGAGAGAGCAGTCTAATCCTCTCTGCTAATAAGGAGGCAGCTCCTGGCAGTGCATGGGGCTCATCAGGCTCTGCTGTGCTGCTCCTGGGTTCTCTGACCGGTGGCAGAGGGCAGCAGGCTCAGACACCCAGCTGCTTTCATTGCGGGGAAGAGCAAAGCAGGAGGAGTTTGCTTTGCTTTCTTTGGGTAAAACGAGAACTTTGCCACTGCTCCTTGCCTCCTCAAACAGCTTGTTCAGGTCCTTGTCAATTGGCACCTGCTGCCTGTGCCTATGTGCCTCATAGAGCATGTAGGGAAAGCCTGTTTCCGGAGCTGGTGAGGAAGCGCCCAGGCCTGGCGTTTGTTCAGGTAGAACGGTGGGAACAAACTGCACTGAGCACCCAGGGTTTATCTTACCTGTTGTTCCTTTGCAGCTGGCACTCACGACTGCTGGCTCGGCTGCTCCAAGGCAGTGCTGTGGCAGTGTGGATGGAAGGACAAAATCTGCCCTGAAAAGGACTTTCTCATCCTCACCGGCAGTCACTTCTCTCTGCCAACACGTGGCACGTGCAAGTGACAGCAGCAGGAGGAAGCTACAGAGGGGCCAGGTAAGGAATGCTTCCTTCTAGATCTTGGATGTGTAGTGTACAGTTTTGTGTAGCCTTGTGAAGTTCCATCACGATATCTGGCTTCAGCATTGCATTTTGGTTCTTGTCAGTGAGATGACTGGTCCCACGCCTTTCATGCAGACAGGATGGCCCTTGATTCTCTTTTGATAGGGTGATAATCACACAGCTCTAAATTTAGAGGGCTTTGGATGCCACTGTAAGGTTTTCTGTGTGTGCCAGCAAGCACGGTGCTACCTTGGGTCCCAGTTTGCAGACTGAGGTGGGAAGGGAAAAGTCAAAACGCAAGTGGCTGCATCTCTAATTCACATCCCCCATCAGCAAATCACAGAGGCATAAGCATTGCCTGTTTCCTGCTATGGGGAGAGTTTGAGGGAACTGGGATTGTTTAGTGTGGAGAAGCCTCCAGGGAGACCTCATTGTGGCCTTCCGGTTCTTGAAGGGAGCGTAAAAACAGGAGGGGGAATGAGGGTGGATAGTGATAGAAGAGGGGGGAATGGTTTTAAACTGAGACAGGGGAGCTTTAGGTTGGACATTAGGAGGAACTTTTTCACCCAGAGGGTGGTGATGCGCTGGCACAGGTTGCCCAAGGAGGCTGTGGATGCCCCATCCCTGCAGGCATTCAAGGCCAGGCTGGATGTGGCTCTGGGCAGCCTGGGCAGGGGGTTGGAACTGGATGAGCGCTGTGCTCCTTTGCAACCCAGGCCGTTCTGTGATGCTGTGACTGATCGCCTCCATCACTGCCCTGCTGAACGTTTCAAATGGAACTGCAGCAAGGCTGCTTAAAAAGTTCGAGGCCAGAGTCCATAAAAAGAGAACTCTGTTCTTTTTGCACTTATCACCGCAGTGCTGGTGCTAAAAGTGGCTGTTAAGGGGGTGTGGGGGCATCACCAGGGCTGCGGTGCTTTAGAAGACCCGAACTGCTCTGAGATGTGTCAGCTGTCCAAAAAATAAAACACCTCCTCAGTCAAGAAGACAACTCCATCACTTGAAACTTTGGTTGTTTTTTTTTTCCAGTTTTTATTGAGTGAAAATGTCAAACCTTGCATCAGTCATGCAAAAAAAAAAAAAAAAAAAAAAAAAAAAATCAAATAAATAAAACACATATATTAAATTTCTAATAGCACTAAATTCAAGTGGAAAAATATTCAGTTCTTAATAACGCAGGTGCTGAAGAGACCAGATTCAAGTAAATCAGAGCACACCGTCCTGTTTAGGGTGGTTTTTTTTTTCACTTTCTGCATTTTTGTCTCAAAACCTATATATATATCTATATATCTATATATATGTATATACATATAGATATATACACACACACATATATATGTGCATACATATTATTTTTATATTTATATATATACACATACATATTTATAAAACATTAAAAAGAGCATTGGTGGTTCAAGCATTTATTTCCCCCCTCCCCCACAGAAAGAAAAAAATAAAACAACAACAAAACAAAAAAAAATTACACATTTAAAATTCAAAATGAGCTAGCAATGGCTTATAGTCCTAGTGTGCAATATGGATATTACAAAAGGCTAGAATTCTCCCTCTTTGTCTTTTTTTGTCTTTTTTCTTTATAGTTTTATGAATTTTTTTTTTCTTTTTTTTTTTTTTTTTTTGCTACATTGGAAAAAAAGTTTTTCTTTTTTTTTTTTTTTTTTTTTCTTTACAAAATTCCTTCCACGCAGACTTTTAATCCAGTTGAGTTTGTGGCTAGAAAGAACCGTCTAGTCAATGGTTTTGATTTCGTTTTTTGCTCCTCAGCAGTGAATGGTAGCAGAATCAGGAGGGTCCATCCCAAGGATTATTTTGTTTGTTTTTCGTTTTGTTTTGGACAGAACAGTTCCGTTTCCTCTCTCTTTCCCCCTCCTCACACAGTTTGCTCTCTCTGGTCGTTCTGTAAGCACTTACAGCATCGTGGCAATGGTTCTGCCGATGCGATCGCATGAAGCGAAGAACCACCCCTCTGCAATGGGCCCCTCTCTGCTCCAGCTCACAAAGCGTTTGCTTAAGAGTTTTGCTGAATTAAAGCCTGAGCACGGCAGAAAAAGACGGGCTTAACTTTCTAAACTTCTCGTTGTTGTTGATGGATGCAGTGAGAGCTTTGCAGGTACAGGGCTGGGGGAAGGCAGGGCAGCACACACCAGGCAGGGCCATGGGGCACAGGTCAGCCTCTTGGGAAAGGACCTGCGTTCCCTGTGCCAGCTCCTGGAGGAGAGGTGATAAAGGATGGGGAGAAAGGCCGAGACACTGGGGAGAAGTCAGGTGCCTGGAGGGGGAAGGTGGTGTGCATAGATAAACATGGGCCCCTCGGGCACACTGAGCCGCATGAAGGAGGTGTGGAACAGCTCTGCATCAGCACAGCAAAGAGCTGCTGAGTGCAGCTTCCCCTCTCCTCTGTGCCTCGGCCTTCTCCTGCTGCCTTGTGGTGGTTCAGTAGTGCAGCTTGGTGGGGTGGGCTGGGGTAGAGGCACAGACACTGCATGTAGCAGCAGGCATGGCTCCTCTGTCCCCAGTGGTACTGAGGTGCCCCAGGGAGTGCCTGCCTTGCTGCTTGAGCAGCCCTGCTGGCTGTGCTCAGAGGATGGGGTGTGAGGGCAGGGGCTCCACGCTGACCCCACAGAAGTCAGTTATGTCCATTGGGTGCCAAGAGAAAACGTCTGGTGTGCAAGATGGGGCCTGTGCTACAGCTGAGGGGCCTCCTGCAGCCCATCATCATACGATGTGAGTGGCTGAATAGGGGAAAAAGGGACAATTACAGAACCTGCAGCAAATGCCATTAAAGCAAAGGTCTTTGCCCCATCTCAGTTCTAGAAATTCCAGGTCTCTGTTCCCACACTCAGCCCCAGAAACGGGAGCTTCGTTACGTGTGCTAGAAAATACACAGCAGAGGGCAGGGGATATACCAAACAAAACAAAAACAAACAACAGAATGAAACCCTGTAAAAATAAAAGCCACACAAAATAACTGATAGAGGAAAAGAACTCCAAAGTATTAAATAAACTACAAACTAGTAATAACAATATTTCATTTGTTTTCATTTGTTTCATCTCTACAAAATTCAAGTTAAAAATTCGGAATCGTGCAGCTCCGGTCAGTGCTAGGAGTGTGAAGTCAGCCTCAAACCACAGAGTTAAGGCCCCCCTCCCCTGCCACCCCCTACAAACAAACACTACATTGAAAAAAAGAAAAAAAAAAAAAGAAAAAAAAAAATTGCACACAATTAACCGTATCTAAGGGCTTTACAGAAGGCAGGTGACCCCCCTCGTCCCCCTGGCATTGGTTGTTTCTCTTTTGTTCTATATATAGTAATAACCTTTACAGAAAAAAAAAATACTGTACAACTTCTCAATTTTTTTTTTGCCTTTCCTTTTGAAGCATCATCCGAACATTCTGTCCCCACATGTACACAGCCGTGCTGCTTGTTTATAAATCAGACCTGATCTACACCAGTTCCTAAGGGATATAATTAAAAAAAAAAAAGCAATCTCAACTCCTTGAGGCCTTTATCTGTTCAGGGTAGAAACAAACTGTGGGGATCCCTCGGAGCTGAAGTGCTTGAGGAGGGGCTGCATGTAAGGAAACAAAAACCAACCAGGCTTAAAGAGAAAAAAGGACTCAGCTCAGACATGAGGAACCTTTCGCTAGGCTGGTGTACTTACAGACTGGCACTGACAGAGCTATGACAGAACGAGTCTGTACGGCTGGTCCTTCTGGAGCTGTGTGGATGCAGAGAAGCCCTCTTTCTCAGACTCTGGTGAGGATTTGGGGTCAGACAGCTACAACCTCACCTGCCCGAGTCCTGGGCAGTCTCCTGTAGTGTGTGTTCCCAGCCTGGGCTAGGAAAAGAGAGCAGGGAGAAGATGAACCTGTGACCAGGGAAAGCCCAAGCTTCCGGAGGCGGCAGGTCCCAGCTTACTAAATTCCACTTACTCATGCAATGCCTGAACTATCAGCCCTACTCAGGAAAATTTATCAGTATGGGCACAGAAAAGCATCATTTTTTAGCTGGACTGCATCCTGGCCTCTGCTGGCATCTCCCCACATCTGTCTGTGCTGTGCAGCTTGCAACAGCCTCAGGTTTTGTGGCTGCAAGAACCAAGGCTAGGCAAATAGCTTCGTGGGTGCTGCAGAATGGTCCCCACCCAGTGCTGAGCAAAGAAGTGGGACATCCCACATGGGATCCTGAATGCCTGTCTGCCTTCTCCCTCTTCAGTGGTGCCTTCACCCTCTTCTGGAAGTCACCAGAGCTACATTTTAGTCCGTGCAGAAAGCCGTGCCCATCTCCAGTGAAAGGCAGGGGAGGAGGGCCTGGAGTGGGGACATCATACCTGTCATCATGGGACTGCGTGGGGCAGAGAGCAAGTAGTATTTTCAAGGCTGCGTTAACGGCTGGGATGCTCTGCTGCGAGCACAGTGCTCCTTGTGCTGCAGCTCACAACCTCCTGACTCTACCGAGTCCTCCTGAGATGGGGATACTGAAGCACCACAAAAAAGCCTCACCCTCAACAGAGGGAAAGCACCTGGGGTTGGGATGAGATGGAACTGGATGGGAGTTGAACCCCAGCCCTCCAGTGTGACAAACCCTTTAACTGCCCGCTGCGCCCTTCCCGAGTTACTTCAGCTCAATCCCTACAGGCGGAACAGCAGGGATGGGGAGAGGTGCCTTACAGCTGTAGACAGAGAAAGTTTTACAATATAAATAGCATTCAAAATTATCATCATTAATAGTAAAAAGGATCTGGAAGAACAGAGGAGTGTCCCATTCCCACCCCTGCTCATTCATTAATGCATCCTCATTTGCGTGACAATAAATACCCACTCCCACCCTCTGCTGTCTGATGCCATCCATTTAATGCTGGAGAAAGAAGAGAGAGAGAGGGAGAAAGGTGGGGGAGAGTGAGCACCCCTCGCCCCCCTCCTTCCCACTGGCAAAAACTGAGCTAGTTGTCTTTGTGACACCAATTCCTTGCATATTATATATGTGTGTGTGTGTGTACATTATATATATAGAAGAGACACACACACAAATATATATTTCTACAATTCATTACCTGTTGTTCCCACCCACCCCCCTCCAAGAAGTGGAGATTATTATTAATATCGTACAACTGAAAACATGGAAAAAAAAAAAAATACCCAGAAAGAAAAATGGGGGGACAGAACCCCACCCATAACAAAGGGTCCCCAGATGGGCGCAGGCCCCATGCACCTTTCAGGAGACAAGGAAAAGCAGCTGGTACCCTCGAGGTTCACGTCCATATAAAAGGGTACTTTTCTGCTGCATCCTGCCCCTGTGTTCTGTGATCTGCAGAATGAAGCAATGCAGCACCAGTCCCGCTGCGAACCTGTCTCTCTTACGGGGCCTGTGGAGCATAGGTTTCCTTCCTTCCTCTCTCTCGTGTGTGTGGCACGGAGTTTGTATTTCATTTGCCGTCCCAATCTTTGTTCTTGCCTCATGTGGGGTCCCCTAAGTAATTCTGTAAGATCAAAACCAAACCACTGCTGCTGTTGTCTCTAGGATTAAGGAGAAGCTGCTGGAGCAACCGTAGAGGCTAGGGCAGCAGCGGGAGCCGGAGCAGGAGCTGAGGCTGGAGGAAGGGCAGGAGCTGCCTCGTCCTGCGGCCTGGAAGCATCACCATGGTCTGTGGAAGAAGAAGCACCCTCCTCTGGTTCCCCATCATCTTTAGTGGCCAGGCCCTCGGGGTCAGGCAGCGATTCTTCAGAATCCGTGTTCAGGTCTTCCTCTTCGTCATCTTCCTCGTCGTCATCATCGTCATCCTCCTCTTCATCATCCTCTTCTTCTTCGTTCATCTCCTCCTCGTCATCCTCTTCATCCTCTTGGGAAGAGTCATCTTCATCCTCCACCTCACCAGAGCCTGATGCTGCTGCCCCCGGCTCCGGAGGGGCGGCCCCGGCTCTGCTGGGGGAGGGCCCTTCAGCGACTTCTGACTGCTTCTTGCTGAGGTCCAGGGAGTCATTGAGGCCCACACCAGCCGCGTTCTGCAGGAAGAAGAGGGAGCTGCTGTTGTTGTCAGTGCTGAGGTTGAGGGAACTGTCCAGGTTGATGGAAGAGTTCTGGATGTCGTACTCAAGAGCGGAGTGGGCGAGGCCTTCGGGGCCAGGAGAGATGGCAGGCAGCTCCCCTCGCTCCTGCTTCTCGTGCTTGCGCTTGTGCGAGTCCATCTGCGACATGCCCACCACCGTGTGTTTGCAGCCAGGGTAGGTGCAGTGGAAGTGGGAGCACTTGAGTTTGTACTTGCAGTCGGGCACCTCGCAGTCCACGCTCGAGCTGAACTGGCAGAAGCCGGCAGCGCTGATGACATCCTGCTTGCCGTGGTGCTTACGGTGGGCCGTCACCTTAGTGCTGTCAGTGCAGCGGAAGCCGCAGCGCAGACAGTGGAAGTGTGTGCTATTGCCAGAGAACTGACAGTCTGGGAAGTTGCAACTCAGCGAAGACTTGAAGCGCTTGAAATCATCCAATACCAGGTTGTCAACGCGGTCGTGGTGCTGGGCGTGCTTATACATGTGGGTACGGCCGCAGAACTTGTAGCCACAATTCTCCCGCGTGCAGTGGTAGTGGGTAACCTTGAGAGAGAATTGGCAGCTGGAGTCCTTGCAGTCCTCGTAGAGGTCGTAGCGCCGAAATCCCTCCAGCATCATCCCTTCATCCAGCATCTTGCGTGAGGATGCAGTCTTGCGGCGCTTGCCAAACGGGGACATGTCCTCAATAATCCAGAAACGCTTTTTGGCCCCCGAGGCAGTTGGCATAGTGATGGTATTCCCTGAGGAGAAAAAGTGAAGAGTGCTATTGCTGACAGGTCTCTCCTCATCCCCTAACTGTCCTGGCAAGTTCTCTATTTGCACAGGCAACACCACAACAGTCCCCCCCAGCAGCTCATCTCCCGGCTCTCAGTAAGCCTCAGCTCTGGGGCTGCTGGCTGACTGGTGCTGCACATCACTTCCTTTGATTTTCAGCATGTCCCCCCTTGCCTCCAATTGCCACTCTTGTATAACTTAATATTATCCAAATACCACTGCTCCTTTTCTGTTTTGCAACTCTGAGAGTTTCTCCTGCTGCTCTGTTATCTCTAGTCATGCTTTCCTCTTAAACTAAACTTTAATGCAGAGGAGTTGGCTTCTTTCAGTCCAAGGGCTGATGTGTTTTACAGCAGTTCATTGTGGTTCAAGTAATAAACGAGTTTAAGCGTTTTCAAACCAGCAGGTGCACACTGCTTTCCCCTACCCAGGCTCCTTGTGAGCAGGACACCATAACACACTACAACTGCCAAGAACAGGCAGGAAGTGGAGGAAGATCCCATGTGTGATTGAAAGTGCAAGGGGGGGAATTTATAGAAATAGGATGGACTTTGGCCAGGAGACTGCAACATCCCTCACTGTAATGAGCCTACATATTACGATGAGTGCACTTAGAAAGACAGATGGACAGATGTTCAATGGGGCCAATTCTCATCACCACTAGCCAGCGGACTCCAAGAGAAAATACCAGTTCTACAGCTTTCCCATGGGTCTCAAAAATCACATGATGCCCCTAGTAAATAAAGAGCCCTCATCTATCTTCCAGTTTCATTCACAGGGCCAGCATAACTGGCTAGTGCTCGTGTCCCCTAGGATCCAGCTGACATCAAGGACTCGACCTCATTATATCTATTAACTTTTTTTTCTTCCCTGCTTACTATTTCCAGGATCAAAATCTCTAGGACCAACATGCAGCAGACGAGGTTGGAGGCAAGAATTTCACACCAGGTGCAAAACTGTGAGTGTAATTGGAAATTATAGCTTGCAATTAAAACACACGTTTTTCCTTCTTTGCCCTCCACCTTCATGCTGAAATTGCCATCCTTTTAAAGAGAGGCACAATTTGAGACATGCAGTGCATGGGACCTGAGAATCCAGAGCAGCCCTTATCCTCGTCCAGGAAACTGAGGCAACAGTCATTTGTTCAAATGCTGTGGGATCGTTTTCTCCTTGCTGACAAGCAGGTATAAAAGCAATGGATGCTATCTTTGCTATACCTGCCTTGCTAGCTTGCAACTCTTTAGATGAAAAGGATTTGAACGATTATCCAAGGAAGCCTCCAAACATTAAACGTACACCATACTGAAAGGTGCAAGTCTACAGGCAGGGTAGCAGCAACCTGACCTCCCCATACAGTGGCATCCTGGTGTGCATGGGCCATACAGGTTGCTGTGTGAGCAGAGAGCAAAAGATCTTTCACATCCATTCATCACGTGCACTTGTGCTCAAACTGCAAATAAGAGCACCAGTTTGGGGCATGCATGCTGAGATCATTGTGGTGGAACTGCACACGAAGGCTACTTTAACCAGCTGCCAGTGAAAGAGTAGCTTTCTATCACTGCTTATTTTCTATTAGCAGTAGAGTCCGCGACCAGATCATTCTGCATCCCCCCTTGCAAATGTACTGTAAAGTCTTCTCTGCTCCTAGGCACACCTGGACAAATCCCTGCTATCCACATCAACTCCTTCCTCCCCCACCTACAAGAAATTACAGCCAAACCACCAAGTACGGATGCTATTCTTGTTTGCCTTCACATAGTACTACAGGATGAGGCATTGTAAAGAGAAGACAGAATATCTGGGAAATAAAGAGAATTTGGAATCTGACCTGTTTAAAACTCGATGCATTTGCTCAGCTTTTACAGCAGCCCAAACAGATGTGCTTAAAACTTCAGCTGAACCAATTTTGTTTTCCTCATACAGCAAAGTTTCAGAACGAGGGTATGAAAAAGAAGACAACCTGCTACACTCATCAGCCATTGGACAGCATTCAGTCCCTAAAGCTCAGCTGGAGATTATGAACCTCAGCAGATTTCATCCCGACCAAATCTCAACGGTAAGTGCATGCCATAAGCTTGTCTTTTCAACTAATAACAATGTAAACACTTCAAAAAAGTATATGAAGATCAATAGGTAAAAATAAAAGAAACTTAAAAATATGTGATTAGAGGAAAGAACAGCACAAAGTAAGATACTGTAGGTAGCATGCAAATCAGTTAAAAATACAGTTTAGCTTGTATTTTGGTCACTGGAAAACACTGTTCTGGATGGGGCGGATGCTTCTCCAGCCAAATCCCATGACAAAAGCCTCTGAACTTCCAAGCAGAGCTGGTCCTCCAGCCATACTCCCCACCATTTGCCCCAGATTTGCATGTTACTACACATGCACACACTAAAGCTGGCAGGAAGAATGACTGGGACATTTATAGGCTGCCAGAATCCTCTTTAGTGTGAAACAAATATGCTCTTGATTAACTAGAAAAGAGCTGGGAGTTGGGAAGAGAAGCCAAAGCTGAGACACACCCTAAAAACCATTCCAGCCAGAACGAGAATCCCCAGCCTGAGCCACCTCTGATCTTAGTCACACATGGGAAACATGGCAGCCTGAAACTAAAGCTCTAAATGTGTTGTGTGCAGCTGTAAGAGCAGCTGCAAACAGTGAGTGTGAGAAACAGCCCGAGATGCCTGATGATGTCATCAAAGTGACACTGACTGTACTTCCCTCTGTTACTTGTGCTGAGGAAAGCAGCCCTGAATTTTATGGTTTTATATGTGACCAGGAAGCAGCGAGGCTGAAAGGAGCTATAAAACTACTGGAGCTGGGTACCCTGTCAGACAGTCACCTACCAAGATGTACGCAACACCAGTAGGCACTGGCCTAGGGGGCCCTGAAGTTCTAATGCCAAGGTCCAAGTTCATTAATGCTACAAGAGCAAAGGTTTGCTTTGTGGCCATCCTGCTGTTATCAAGAGCTGAAAAGTGAATTTTTACACTACGGGTTATTGCTCGATTTCTCTCATAGTTTGGAGTTGGCTTGAAAATTCTCTCAGGTATCTGAATTTTTCACAATGATCTGCTCTGCTTTTTGGCTGCCCTTCATAGCTGTGGTTACCATGTCAGCAGACAAAGGGAGCAGGCATGAAGGGCCCTTGGATAATGTTAAGTGAGACACAGAGTGACAAAGGCTTTTTTTTAACTGACTCAAAAGGTGCAGAGAAAAATGTGGGCAAGGTGAGCGGGGAAGGAGATGGGCAAAGGACACTAAGAGAGAAAGCAAAGTGTTACCTGCTGCATCCTGAACTAAGGGAACGTCACTTTTTACTGGAGTTGGAGTGGCAATGATGGGCGAAAACCCAGTGGTGCTGGCGGCAGGCATGACAATGCCTCTGCTGGATCCAAGAGTGGCACTGAGCAGAGAGTATGAGAGACAAGATGGAGAGAAAAGATAGGGGAGGGTGGGAATGGGAGACCTAAGCAGGGCTTGTGAGAAAGATGGAGGCAGAGGTGGAGGTTGAGGTTGAGGTGCATTGTGGGTAGCATCATCGGCAGCAGCAGTGGCAGTAGAAGGAACCAGGCAGCCTGGAGAACGTGGAGAGAAGAAAAAAAAAGCAGAAAAAAAGGAAAACAAAAACAAGAAACAAACAAACAAAAAGAAAAAGAAAAGAAAAAAATAAAATGAGAACCCAAGAGCGGAAGCAGTATGATGAAAATGGAAAATACATTAACAAATGTATGAAACAGAACTGTAACAGAGAAGAAACAGAAGGTGAGGAACTGACAGCATCAGGAAGAGGAAGGTTGTCTCTGCAGAAGGTGAGGTGGCTTTAATGGCATGGAGTAGCAGCCACAGGCTTTCAAGCAGAAATTCCTGCTTGTCTGGTCCTTGCACATTTCTGCTATGCCAGCTCGTGCCAACTAACAACCACGAGCCCTGTCTCAGCTCTGGGCAGGGGCAGTTGCTCTCTACCTGGATAGCAGTGAGGGGCCTTTTCCTAGGAAATGGGATGGGATGGTGCTGGAGAGAGTGCCAGAAATCACTGTCCCACCAAAGCTCTCTGGAGGAGCTTTAATGCCATGGTGCATCCACTGTCACAACGCAGCAGTGCTCATCTGATGGTAGCATATGGTTAGATGTGCTATTTTATAACCTTCATATATGTGCTATGGGAATGCAAAGCAGGAGAATGTTTGTGAGATTAAAGCAAACTGAGGGAGGCAGACTATCTAGAACACACCTCACCCTGGGAAGGACAGCTGAGAGATCCCTGAATCCACACTAGATGATAACAGAATTCATAAGAGAAACTGGACTTCTGAAGAGATAACTACGTAACAACTACGTGGTAACTATGGGGCAGGAGATGGCTGCTTGTTATCCTTGCAAGCAGGAAATAATGGCAGAAACTTATTTCTAAAAAGAGGAGAACGATGGCAGTCTCCTCTGTGTAACACTTTGCAAAGTGGCACAATGGTTTTTGCACGAGAAAGGGAGCCCAGTGAGCTGCTGTTACGTGGTGCTTTCTGAAGACAGGGCAGTCTTTTTTCCCCTTCTGTATCTAATATTTGCTATTGTACAGCCTTTCTGTACCTCAACACTATTAAAAAAAAAAGTCTGACTTCACACGCTGCACAAAAAAACCCCAAAAGATAACTGGGGAAATGCCAGGGACAGAAAGAGCCCCACAATTCTTTATTATTATTATTATTATTTTTAAAGCAACTATACAACTGGATCCAGTCCAAGACATGGGATAAAAACCTCTGTCCAGGGGAAAAGCAAGATGCACTGTTAGCTCACAGACCCTTGAGGTGCACTTTCTGATGCATCTCTTGTCTCAATGATGGAGGGAGCTAAGTTACAAGACACTACCATGAAACAAACACAGTTTATAAGGTGCACTTGTCCTTTATCCTCTCTTCATGAGTCAGTCTCCCAAGAGAGTAGGTAGCTGACTATCCGTGTCACCCCGCCTTACCTGCTGATGTACTTTCATTGCCCACTGGAGTGCTGGAGCAGCTGCGGTCCATATTGGAAGATTCAGAAGAGATCCCCCCAGGGCTACAGCCAGTGTAATCCATGTACTCATCTGTTTCAGTGTCCATCATGCTCGGGGGTCCCTGAAAGGAAGCTGGGGTTCCTGATGAGGCTGGGCTGGGCGCCATGCTGCCAACCTGGGGGAGATTTTCATTTCTTGGAGTGTGGCCAATAACCTGCAGCAAGAAAGCAGGATGGGGACTTTCACACCAAAAGCAAGATGCCAAGACCAAAACCATCTGTCGGCACGTTTATTTCTCTCTGCCACTGCTCATGAGGAATAAATGGAACATGTTCATGAGTGAAACCCACGGCACTGTGGCTAGCAGCATGCATCTTCCTTCACTGGGAGCTCAGAGCATTAAACTTGGCACGTGTATCCTGGTATGTGAATTGTGATGTGCTCAGAGGCTGGGAGTGTTAATCTTGGCAATGATATCCTGGTGCACGGATTCTGATGCATTCAGAAACAGGAGGTGTTGATCTTGGCATTGCTGTCTTACGGTGGTAGGTCCTGCTGCATTTAGGGACTGGGAGTACGACTACTGGCCCTAGTGCCTGCCTGCTGAGACATGCAATGGGATCACAGGCAGAAACCAGTGACCTGAGTGTGTGCTGCTGTGCTCATGCAGGTGCTGTGACCTGGTCACCACTGGATAGTTGCACCTGGACAGGTAACCAGAAGCAATGCATAACCAAATGTATCAGTAAGTGCCTACTAAGCCCTAAGGAATAGAGAAAACTGGAGTTAGGATATAAAAATACAGAATGGCAGTGGCAACACAGCGTGTAGCTTTGCTATACACAATTTCAGCAGCAGCAGTTAGTGGAATTAACCAATTAACTTAGTGACAGGGAAGAACAACTAAAAGGGACCTCTCATCCCCATGTTGTGCAACGAAAGGGGGTTCCCATCTTGCTTTCACAGGTGGCACCTTTTGCTTTACACATACCAGACAATGTCCTAAGGGGCAGATCAGTCACAGGGGTTTAAATAAAGCTTGCTTGTTTCATCTCTTAAGTCTGGGGGCGTTAAAGCAAGGATAAGAGGAGCAAAGAGGAGGTTGCAGGACTGCTGCCATTCTGCGCAGGTGGTCAATGCTGCAATTTGAATTTATTTGTGCAACAGACAAACCAGTTGCTGTCAGCTGTGTTAGGAAAAAAAAAGTGACTGCACTGCCCTGCGTAACTCCCAGTCAGCAGAGAAATGTTGAGACTGGTATTCCTCCCAGCTGAGGTAGAAGCAGCAAATAATTCTTTATGTGCAACAGGAAATGTTTGCTTTAACCAGTGTGTTCAATTCTTCCACATCCTAAGCACTTCAATTTTAATAAGCCAATTGGTGTATACTGAAGAGAGCAGGGAAGGAGTGCAAGTTGTAAATATGAATATTTCAGTGTTATCCTTTGAAATGTTTCTCTGTAGTACTCACAAGGAAAGGCTGTTTAGATTAAGTAATGCTTTGATGTCTACCCTTTATCATCTCTCCTCATATTACAGAAGTCAAAACAGCCAAAGCTAGCTTAGGTGAACTCGTGCTTCCCAGGTGTGCTCCTCAGTACAGACACGTATCCTTAAGACTGCTATGAGTGCCTTGGAATTAATGCAGTTCTGCAGCAAGTAATCAATGGTGCTATCACTACAGTCAGATCTACAATGTAAAACAAAAAACAAGACCAGTGACTCACCTGAGTAGGAACACGATCAAAATTCTTCCCCAGCATCCTTCTCATGTGCTTTCTGGCATGGGATGTCATTTGGTGCTTCAGCAGGAAGGAGAACTGGCAGCCTTCTCGAATACAGTGGAAGTGGCTGTTCACCTGGTTGTATTTGCAACCTGCAGACACAGAGCCTACATATGTAGTACATGAAAGGTACCAAGAAGATGACAGACCATAAGGAAGATGGTCTGGAGCCAGGACAAGACTGCTGTTACAGGGATTTCTGTTGGATTGGAGATTATCAGTGGTCACGAGCTCTCCAGGAGCAGTCATGAATGAAAATAGCGGGTTTGTTGTTTTTTGTTTTTCTTTTTGCCTGCTCAGCAACTGAAAAAGAGGGTTACACTTAAGAAGGGGACCAGCAGCAGACCAGTCCCATCCCTCTTTGTTTTGTTATAGAGAAAGTAACCATTATGTTTAGCAGTGTCCAATACACCCCAGTCTTAGCCAGTGCATTTTCTTTTCCAAAGGGAATAAAACCAAGACATTTGCCTGTATTGTCACATTTACAGTTGAAAATACATGCTCACAAGTAGATTTGAAAGGAAAAGTTCTTTTTCTCCCTTTAACTATGCTCTCTGAACAGAGGAACAGTCTCTTAGAAGCACCAGCTCCAGGACAGGACAGCGTACACTACCTGGTCAGACAGAAAAGTGTTTACTGCCACTCCAAATGAGCAGTGTAATAGGGGCGGCCACTAAACAATTTATAGAGCTGTGGTACACCACACTGCACAGAATCATAGAATACCCCAAGTTGGAAAGGACCCATAACACATTCTGCTCCTTGCAGAAACTGCCATGTATGCTGGCAGTTTGTGTATCTTGTTAACAGACTGTCCTGAATAGCAGCATTCTGCAGCAGACAAATAATGGCTTATTGCTCTGTTTTTACTGCAACATCAACAGTCGGGCTGTGCCTGCTCTCCATCATCCCCTGTACATCACCTTATGCACACACAGGCACAGAGCCCCAGCTGTAGTCATCTGTCTACACCCACTGCCTTTACTTACATCCCTACACACAGTTTTCACTCTCTCTGTACGTATACACAAATACACCTAGACTTACATACACAAAAACATATAATATCAATCTATTGATCTAATATGAGTGTGTTCACCAACTTTCACAGCCCCTCAAGCAGGCCAGTGCTTCTGCACCTGCTGTACGCATACTTAACCTACAACAGAGAGCTGCACAGCAAAACAGACATGCGTTTACATGCTGGTATGCTCATCTACACCCACACAAACACGTCCACCTACCCCATCCAGCACGCTCCCTGTCTCTACGTAGGCCAAAGCAGAGAGCTGGCTAAACATACACTTCACACACGGCAAGCCCAAGCTATAGGCACTTGTACATCCCAGTGGATGCGTGTACCCCTCCGACCCCAAAATAAACACTGCTGACACAGGCACAGCCCATAGCCATCTCGCTGCCAAGCAGCTCCTGAATCACCCAGCCCATCTTTAGCTCACAGACAGCGTTTTATGTGCAAGCCAAGTTGCTGTTTGTTTAGGTATTCCACTCCCCCACAGCCCCACCTCGTTTGTCCTCCCCATCACGTCCCGTTCTTCAGGATGAAGAACAAACAGCGCTGGTGGGATTGAAACGGTATCAGCAAAGGGCAGGTGAAGGCTCGCCCGTTGCCAAGGCAGCCGTGTAGGCTGGGTGTCATGTATCACTGTCCTGCTTTGTCTAACCCCTTCTATCACCTGAAACGCCTAAAGTTGAGTAAATAACAGCAACTGCTGAATCCAGTGACATGTGTAAATGAGACCTAGGTGAGCACTGGCTCTGGAGTGTTGACACTCATTACCCCAGTTACCACAAACAAGTTGCCATTTGGGTACAAATTCCTGCTGTTTGGTTCTGCTTCCTGTGGCTGTTACCCTGCAATGCTCAAGAACGAACAACATCGGGCAGGAGGAATGGACAAGAAGGTCAGACGTTATTCCAAACCCCACTATGATTCAGCCTTAAGCCAGGACCAATAGGAAGATTGGCTTTGTGATAACAGTAAGGCAAAAGGCAACGGAGCGAGTCCTGGGAGGTGAGGATGGAGCTGAGCTGCAGCTTTCCCTAGGGACTGCCTCCAGCACAGAGCGCTGCGCTTCAGCTCGAGGACACCTCCCTGGGAACGTGTTCTGCTTTCTGTTGCTGCACGTTTGTTTTACCAGCTTTACACTAGAGGCTCTTAGATTTAATAACTGCTATAGTGCTGCTAATAGTTTTGGCAAATGGGCAAGCCATGGTGTGAGGCTGTGTGCACGGCAGGGTTTCCTTTGGCTGCGTGCTGGTGCAGGGCTGCAATGAAGGCACAGCGCTCGCTCTGCTGCTCACAGACAGCTGTGCAGAACAGGGTCAGGAGAAAGGAGCAGTTTACTGCATGCCCTTCTCTGTACTTGTCTCAGGTTATTTACCCTTTGGCTTTCAGGATGCAGCCCTGGCAACAGCAACAGAAAAACAAAAGTCATCTGAAGCTGCGTGGAGTCAGGCACGGCCACAGCCAGAGGTCGATACAGCAGGACTCTGCATGAGAGTCTCATCAGAACAGACATTTCCTATATGCTGCTTTTACTCCTAAGAGCATCCTTCAACTCTGCCCAAGACAAGCAGTAGGTCCAAAGACTGCAAAGTCTCCCCCCAAAGAACAAGAAAAATAAATATTTTTAAACGGCCTTTAAAATCAAAAGGAAGAACAAAGGGGAACCTGTATCTCCAAACAACTGTGTGTGTGTGTACATAAAATCCTCTGTACTACAGCTCCTAGTCATATAAGATCTTTGATCTATTTGAGAAAATAGGAATCCTCATGCCTCAACACAGGGAGATCAGGAACTGATTTCTGGTTGATCTGTTTCTCGTTTAGTAATTTAATTAGTCTAACTCATATGCTTTAACTCATTCCATTCTTATCCTGGGCGTAGGAAAGACGTGCAAAGGGTGAGGGAGCAAGAAGACAACTCACCTAATCTGCCACATTCTTCTCGCTTGGTGAAATACTTGAAGCCATTGGCTGCCCTTCTCTCTGCCTTCTCATGTTTCTTCACGTGCCAGGGCAGCTTGGTGGTGATGTTAGTCACAAAGTAGCAGCCAGGACGAAGGCAGTGGTAATGCCCTCGCATCCTGAATTCACAGTGCTGCAAGAGAGCAAGTAGGTGGGTTACTTAAAGCACGCGTGAAACAAATGCACTCTCGTTTGCCTGCTGCTAATGCTGTCCCTCTGAGAGAAGAGAGGTGTGAGCTGATACTCTGGATTACGTCCACTTTATTTTCCATGAGCCACAAGGCAAACTTGTTCCCTGCCATGTATTCTGCACTGCACTGTTCTACCCTGAAATATCCCAAACCCCAGCCAAGATTCCATCACTTCTCTTAACTTGTGGGTTTCCCCAGTAGTCAGAGTTTCACTTCATATCATCCTGCAGCTCTGAGCTCATCTGAGCTACCTTGCCCACCCAAGTCACACATAAAAAGCAGTGGGATTTCTTGTTCAATGGAAACCCGACAGTAGATCAGGTAATTAAGATCCTTCTTCCACGGATCTGTCATCAGACCAGGAATGAAACCCTTGGCCTCAGTTCCTGTTGCATTGCCTACTTGTTCCTGCACACATCCTCAGGATGGGACACTTTGAATCACTCTTACCTGGTTTGGACAGAGACACTGCAGAGAATAGTAAGCAAACTGGTCTCGCACATTCACCAAATTATTGTTGGGGTTGATGTGGTCCAGGCAGTGGGATTCTGCTTTGCCAGAGGTTTTGCACACATACTTGCAGTTCCCAAAGAGACAGTGGAAGTGGAATTTATTGGCATACTTGCAGTCCGTTGCCAGGCAGGGATCACTGGAATACATCCAAAACCCAATCATCACCTTCACTCATTTCACACATTTGTTTCTTTGCCAACATTTAATTCAAGGGGAGCCCAGCTGAAGTCTCTGTTCCAAACATGGCCTGCAGATTTCCCATAGCCTCCTTTCTCTTTAATAAAATTGATGCTGGCAATACTACTGCAACTCTAACAAGTCTGTGCACTTTCTTAATTAAGATTATTAAAATACAGCAATGCATGGTGGGATCTGTAGTTTCCGAGGGCCACGATTCTAATTTAAAGCTTTCTTTCAAGATCCAATCCTCAGTGGTAATTCAGACACCTTGTAATCACACTGGTAAATGCCAGGTCTTGCCCCAGTTAGACAAAATCTGCAGCAGTCTTGTTAAACACCGAAGTGATTTTGGCTCCTGACTCCCCCTGCTTTTGAGCTGCGCACACAGAGGTCAGATAGCAGGTAGCTGAACACTGATCTCTTGGATCCTGAGCACTGTATCCAATGTTACTTACTCAGAGATATGAAAAATAATTAATACACTTCCTTGGAAGCAGACAGATGGCTGTCAGTGCATGGCCCAGTGTGTGACAGTCCATCAGCCTCAACAACTAAGCCGCAATGCCCAACCTGACTGTAGACTCTGAGGCCTTCTGTAAACCACCTAACTTCTGCTCATCTGTATACCAGAAACAGAACCATCATCACAGCACTGTACTTTTAGTTACCTTACAGCTGTAAAGATGCTACGCTCCTCTCTGTTGCCTTTAGCATCAAAAATACTGCAAAGAACAGTTATTTCTGTTTACCTCCCACGAGGTATAAAAAAAAGGCTCCAGTGATACGTACATAAAGTTTATTTCTCCTCTGAACTCTTATCTAAAAGTGCTCCCAGATGTACTGGAAAATCCTGCTGTACTTTTTTTCCTCTAGCATAGTTGAGGCTATGTTCTAGAGCTTATAGAAGCAAGTTTTCTTCAAGACTGTCTGTTGGACAGAAGGCACCTCAGTGGGTGAATACAGATATAGAATGTAACTCCAAAGAGCAGTAAAGAGGGGACTGCAAAATTGGAGAGGACAAAGGGAGGCAAGCAGCATCTCCAACAACTTACTTCTCCTGGAACTGGAGAAATCCGGGTTTGACCTGAGGCTTGGCGTTCTCCAGGGAAGTTGTAGCCAAGGGTGAGGTTGCCAGGTTAGGCACTGATGCTGGAATCTGAGGCATTTGGGGTATGGTTGAAGCCAGCTGCTTCCAAGCTAGCAGTGTGGGGGCAGAGGGCACAGTTGCTGGGCTCGGGGTGGGCACGTCCAGGGCTGGAGCACTCGCCATGGTGGCAGATGTAGCAGATGGTGACGAAGGGCCCAGTGAAGCCTTACTGTCAGTAGTAGTTGAGAAGGGAGACTCGGAGTTACTTTTCACAGCCCCACCTTCGGTTCGGAAGTGAAAACTGCAAAGAGACAGTGCAGTTTGACATGACATCAAACACTGCGTGTAACAAATATCAGCAAAACGCCGCTGCAGTCTATAAGCAAACCAGCTGAGTGAAACCCTAAAAGGAACTCTGTCCATTTTGTGGACAGTTGTAGGGCCCTCTGAGAAGATCCGTGAGGAGAAGGGAATTCATTAGGTGGGGTGGAGTCAGAAAGGTGTAATAATGTGTTAAAATCAGAGCAGGGCAAGAATGGCTGCAGCCAGAAGATTGGTACAACTGAGGGTTGCTTCCCATGGCTGGTGAGAAGCCAGTCATTTGTAGTAGTGAACTACAGGGAAGCATCCAACTCCAAAGACCAACTGTGCTGACAGATCCTCCCACCCTAAACTTCATCACATCCCCTTTCCTCTAAACCTCATCAGACGCAGCCATGCGGCCAGCTGCCAAAGGCCACACTCACTCTTTGTTCAGGCTAATCTTCCTTTGCCTTTAAAAGGAACGTGCCATGGGATTAAACTACAGATTATGTTCCGTACAAATTAATTCTACAGAAAATTTGCAGCATCCCAGCCTTCATCTGATAGTTCCTCACTGTGTCAATGGGAGCGTATCTCATCTTCATTCTTCACACAGGAGTCACCTGGAGCTGAGCATGCTGCACAGCTGCTGTTACAAGACAGGCCATGACACCTAGTTCTGGCTACCAACGCCTAGGCTGTCTGCTGCTTTCCAAAATGATGTAAGAGTTTACAACACAGAATACTGCAAGGTGAGCAGGAGGCTGCTGTCGAGCTGGACGCTTTGTTTCCTTTCAAGAGCCTTACCTATATGGCGCCAACATCTTAAAGCCACATGAATACAGGGTTAGAGAAGGCTTGTTAAAAAAGATTTGTCATGACAGGAAAAATAAAATGCTTTCCATACTGCAGTGAAGGGAAGCTGTCTGCTCTACAACACATCCGCATCCAGCCTCAACAGTTGGGGTTTACAGACTCCTTTCCCCCTCACATTCTGTACTTTCTTTGTATCTGGTGTACTTGTATACTGAGAAATATGGGTCTCCTTGAACACACCATCAAGTAGGCTATGGAAAAACACAAATGTCCAATTCTATACCTTGCCTGTGCTGCACAAGATGTCAGTCACAAGCTGTAATGCTACAGCGTGATGGAAAGTACATCCATGATAGTGAGGTGGCAAAGTCTGAGGCTTCAGCAAATGAGGACAAACCCATGTGCTGCAGCCGTGGATGCAGAAACAAAGGAAGAAAATTTGTTTACCTTCAGAAGGCCTCAGGCAGGCAGGGATCTCCAGTGAGATACCCTCACCTCCACTGCCAGCCCTTAAAATGAGGGCTGGGAAGGGGTGGATCCTGGCTCCAGCCCTTCTGGTCACTCAGTGCATTTGCATGCACCTGAGCTCCCTTGGGTCAGCCCTGCCTTCCCACCAGGTGCTCAATCACTGGTGCAAGCCATGACTTGGCATTTCCACTACACAAACAGAGCACATTTATTGTGAAACAAAATCAAAGAGGACACAGTGTTCTGCAGAAACTTCAGCTGAGCACATTTACACAGGGATCGAGGGGATGCCCAAACGGCTGCTGCAGGACTGCTCTCAGTGAGGCCTCCCCTCCTGCGCCGCGCGGTCCCCAAAGCTGGAGCTGCCCTACTCACTTGGCGTGCTTGATGGCTCCATCCAAAGTGCTGAAGAGGGCACCGCACTCCTCCACGACGCAGTGGAAGTGCACCTTGTGCAGGAAGTCGCACTGCGCATCGCAGAAATCCTTGGTTCCAAACCTGGCCAAAGCAAACAAACAGGCATCTTACGCAGGGCCCCAGGAGAGAAGCGGTGTTGGAACAGACATGGAAGAAACGTTTCTTTTTGTTTCTCAACTCTAATAGCATCCTATTCTCTCATGTCACCGTTCCTCCTGCACAGACTGGCATTGCTGTTGGATCACGGCTGGTTGCACAGATCTGAATACAGAGAACTTTTCCTCAATTGAGTCCTTTTGACTGAGGAACTCGCATTCACTTTTAGTAAGAGTTAAATACAGAACAAATCTGATAAAAAGATGAAAAACCATCAGTGCTGTTGAGCATCTGTGTACACAAGTCAGAGCAGAGGGGAAGATCAAAGGTTAGTAAACCTGCCTGAATTTATTGGGAGTAGCAAACAGAATCGAGCAAGGGAATCTAGGTCCAGAACACTCCCACCCAACATGCATAGTGGCAACAACAGGCTATCACACAGACGGGAGAAACAGGAGAAACAAAGCATCACCTACACAGCAATTACAGCCTAATATGTAGAGAGAATCGTAGAGTCCCTAAGAACACATCTACAGTACATCATCTAAAGCCATCTCAGAGGAACTGGTCAAGAGGAGAAAAACAAGCAAGAATGGTTTCACTGCTCATCACTGCTGAGATTCTCCAAACTTAATGGCAGCAGCACAGTACGTGTGATTTCAGGAAACTTCAGAATGGAGAAATCAAGTGAAAAATGCTGGCAGGAAGGATCTGAAACTTAACAGGGGAATCTTGCATAATTAAGGTACAACAGACTACAATTGCTCTGATGAGCAGGAAAGCAAGAAACAAACAGCAGCCTGCGTGGTCCCAGGGGGAACCTCCTAACAATCTGAAGGTAGAGAAAGAAGAAAAAAAAAATAAAAAATGATGTACTGGAGATGAAAAGGCCAGTGGATGTAGAACACATGCAGTCAGTTAAGGCTCGCAGGGAGAAGATGGCGGAAAGTAAAGGTATGATAAGAGAAGAGATAAGAAACCAAGTTACTGCAAGCTAAAGGGCTTCTTTTATCAAGGTCGAGAGGTTTTGTACTTAAAAAAAAAAAAAAAAAGCCTGATAAATATGCCAGGGAGGTGATGAGTCGAAAACAGCAGCCTTATAAAATATGCTTTGGACAAGGAAACTAAAGACAAGACAGACAATTAGGGCTGAAATGAAGACCTCCTAGAAGAGCAGATAAAGAGACTGGTTGGAAAATATAAATATGTACAAATCAGCCAGCCTGGATGATGCATGTCCTGAAGCGCAATGGAAATTAACTCACAAACTGATTGCATTACTATTTGTTATTTTTTAAGCCATAGAGAAGAAGGAGATACTAGAAAACCAGAGGAAAAAAAAACAACCAAAAAGCAACCAAACAAATCTAGGCACTGATTCTTTGAAAAGAGGAAAAGACAAGTGATCTTTGGCAATTATCATACCTCTAGTCTTAACTTCTCCTTCCAGTAAAGTAATGGAACAAATATTAAGAGGGAGGAGAAAATCATTAAACATCTAGAGGATAAAGGAACCACGAGCAATAAACAGCATCGGGATTATAAAGAATAAATCTTACTAGACAAATTTAATTGCTTTTTTTGATAGAATTACAAAATTAGTGGATGAAGGGATGCAATATATTTGGATTTTAGTAAAGCGTTTTGATACAGTCTTGCATATGCTTAGAATTAATTCAAGTTGGCTTGGATGGGAAAACAACCACATGGATTGAGAACTGGCTGAAGGACCGTAAACAAAGGCTAATGACAAACAGCTCCGTACCGAGCTGGGAGGAGGCATCTTGTGAATGCTGCAAGGATGACTTTGGCTAGGTCTGAGCTTATTTAACATCTTCATTAGCAGTCTAGGAGAAGGAGTAAATAGCGGCTAATGAAATTCACAGAAGATACTAAACTGGGAGGAGTTGGCAACACCAGTGCTGGAGGAGAGAAATAACACAGAGAAGCCTTGCAAGACGTGGAGGAAGGTTCCAATCTGACAGTCATATTTGGAGAAAACAGCTAATCCACCTGGGGGGTGAGGAGAGTGTTTTTATACATAGAGGACTCATAAGAACAACCTTACCAGTAATCATGTCTAGCAGTTGGTGGTAAGCATGATACAAATACACAATGAAATATAGATGCAAACAAGGTAGCACAGCTTTGAGCTGCACGTATGGGGCAGGAAGCTTGTTACAGGTCTGTTGTGGTGATACAGGAGCGGCAGCCCAATTCTGCACCCACTGAGGGAACAGCAAGAACGATGACAACAGAACATGATCAGCAGGCTGAAGGGACTAATTTACAAAGTCAGATTAAAGGAAGTAAAAGCTTCATTAAATGATATGCTAAAAGTCTGTGACTATCTGAAGGGGGTGAACTCCAATTCTGGCGAAGAATTATCCGCTGTAGTTCAAGGGGATATAACTAGAACTGCAATAAAATCATGGAAAGGGAAATTCAGGCAGCACACCATGAAGAAAGATCCTGACAGACTAATGCACTACATGGTAGAATAATGCTCCCAGAAACAAGAGAACAGCTTGGCATAATTAAAACTAGACTGGACAAAATGTCTGCAAGTGGACTGCGGGGAAAGATCTCATATTGGCCAGGGGCAGATGGACTAGAGGACCTTCTAGTCTTTTCCATCAAAGTCTGTGATTTTCAAAGTGTCCACAGGCATTTGTAGGCAACTATCTGTGTCAGAGCACCAACAGATATGGTCTGCCTGGGTGTATCTGTGTATGCTCAAAGCGTGTGTCTGTCTGGGCATGTATGTGCCTGTGTCCGTGTGTGGGTGAGTTTTGTATCTGTTCCATTTTCCTTTCAAGCCTTGCTGTCTGCAAGAAAAACAGCACAAACCATGCAGTTCCCATACCTTCTTGGACTCCCTGTTTTGCCCCACTCCTACGATCAGATGGAATTTCACAGCATTTTAAGGCTTATATACTCCATGCCTAACAACTAGAAGGGGTCTAACAGCGATCCGGAGGTATAAGCAAACTACAGTTGGTGCCCAGCTCTTGCAGACTGGAAAGTGAAGAGGAGCTAAGGAGGTGCTGTGGCAAACAGTGCTAAGTGAAGGTCCGAGAACTCAGCATTCAAGTGTGGACTAATGAGCCAGACACCTTTCAAAGGAGATCACTTCCCTTTCCTCTGTTCCCAGTCCCATGCCCTCCTTACCGGCGCAGGTACATCTTCCACGGCTCAGAGAGCTTCTCCTGGACAAGCGCCTTCACTGCCTTGCCCAAGTACTGCGTCGGCTCCCCAGCCCCAGCCTGGCTGCCATCTCCTTCTGTCTTAATGTTCAGCAGGTTGCCAAGGCTGGCACTGGTCTTGGACATCTGGAACAAGAACACACACACTGCATCAAACCCAGCTCTCAGCTGTGGACACTGCTGGTCTGGACAGTTTTGGGACAGTCCCATGGAAAGCTGTGCCTTCAAAGAGAGAAGACAAGAAGTCTGCGCACGCTGCCCCAACTCATCAGCACAGCTCAGGAACACTTCACTCTTGGGCATCCTCCCCCCAGCTGTCACAAAGTACATGGCACCCATCTGGTATTCATGTCTCCTGTGTGAAGCATCTGTGCCACACACTGCAGAACTGAGGTGAGGGGAGACAGGCCCTGTTTGAGTATGGAGAAGATGCACATATGCTGGTGCAGTCTGAATCAGTAATAACCCGACACAGCTCCTACAAAATGCTGGGCTCTGGGTGCAGAGGTAGAAGTGATAGGCTCTCATTCACCCAGAACCACCTCACCCTAGCTGCAAGGATGACTCTTTATTGAAACAGACCATCAGGAATTTGTGTGGAAGAAAATAATTTTTTTTTTTTTTAAAATCTCAATTGTGAAAAAAATTCTGGGCCATAAAAGTCCTCAGCAAATTCTTACAGATTTCACTGAAGAACTTGTTTCACTCTCTGTGCTCATTGTGCCTCGCTCACAGCACAGGAACAGACCCACAACACTGCGTGGAAGGCTTCAAACAGATTCTGCACTGAGAAGCCTTGGAGGTGTGGGATGAAAGGAGAACATTTACTCCAGAGTGCTGGAGGGAAAATGTTCTTTCCTAGCGAATGCACGGTTCCCCAGGCCAGGTCCTGCTTTGCTGCTCTCTCAATTACCTCCAGTAACAACACTGAAATTCACAGTGTGAATAAAATCCAGGATTAGACCTAATACTTGCACTATGAACTCCACCCACTTCAGGATCTCAAAGCCCTTTATAAATATCAGTTAATTAAGCCTGACAGCCCCCCTAAATAAACTGCAGCACGCTACAGGAACCCTGGCTGCTTGAGGCTCCTTAATGCCCCCTGAAGGTAAAGCCCCTGCTGCTCTGTGCAGACTGCAGCTCTTTATGGCTGAAGGCAGGTATTCAGCTTGTCTTTTTTTCCTTGGTGCCGGCCATTCAATTTCTGTAAAGGTTTTTTTTTTGTTGTTTTTTTCCTTGACAATTAAGCAAGGTTTCCTCTACCAAACTGTGCAGCAAGCATGGTGCGTTCCTGAGCACACAGAGCTTAGGTCTGCAACCCTCAGCTTGGAACGGGCTCCTTCTCACCAGTGGCTGCTTTATGTCATCTTTTAATCCCATTCCCACCTAACAAAAAAAGAACAAACCTCAAGAACTGTGTTGTATACCTATGCTACACTTATTCTGCACCACATAAATAATCCTCATGTTGTGCTGCAAACCTCTGTGCCGTACCTCTGTGCAGGGCTGTGACACAAACAAAAGCTTATTTCTAAACCCAGAATTTCAAGTGAAATATTTTCTGGAGGATATCTCCCTTTGCTCAGGATCCCCAGCAGCAGATGTACTAAATACATGTATTCACAAGAGAAAGAACTGCATATTTGGAATCACTGAAAGGAGGGCACGCGGAAAGGAAACTATGTTTAAAAGGGACCACCAGAAATCCAACATAACAGAACCAGTGGCGAAGGAAAGTGGTGTAAAGGTAAAGGTAGGAATGAAACAACATGGGAAAACGTGGATGAAGTAAGAAGGAAAGGAGCTGAGGCTACCAAAGTCACTCTGCCCTCTCCTGAGGGTTATATGGCCTCGATGCACGCAGCGCCCAGAGCCAAGGGGATGGCAATTGCTATGCCTGTAAAACCTATAGCAGTGGAGTATGAAGGCAAGGCTCAAAGGCGGCCCTGATCTCTAATGCAGTTGTACACAACAGGAAAATTCATCTTTGTACAGTAAAATTTATCATGTGAAAGGGAAATATATATTTGAGATGATGTATAATTTAAGGAAAAAGTAAGGAAAAAGAAACCGTGCATTACTTAAAATAAATATTCTACAACATGGTAAAGTGGGCTCTGCTGGACACCATTAGTCACACCAGAAAGGCAGCAATTGATGATTCCAGCTCAAAACTTGTAATTTTTTTCTTCTTCTCTTCCATAAAAACAAACGATTCTCCCCTCCCCCATGGAAAGAAAATGTTTTCAAGTTAAAAAAAAAAAAAAAGAAAGAGTAACTATAAAAAGAGAGCGAGAGAAGTTGCCAGGTTCTGGGAATAAAAATGGGAAAAAAAAATCTTTCAGAGCCCTCCTCCATCTAGAAAGGATGAAAAAAAAGGTGTCAGAGGCTGCAATATATTTCTTCAGCCAGTTCATTAAATTAATTCGTAAGCAGTGGCTCTGAAATTATACCCGATGAAAAATGGTCTCAAAATTTAAATGGTACAAACTCATCTTATTAGAGGCAAAACATTAAAAAACAAACGCATCTCTTCCCCCCTCCCTCCCCGCCATCGCGGCTTTAATTTCTCTTGGTGGGGGGAATGAAAGGCGTTTGATGGATGGCTCTTACCTTATTCATAAGCGAGGATAAAAGAGATGAATTTGCCGAGACTGTGTGGCCATTTGATTCATTACTGGAACACACAAACCAACAGGGTTTAGTTAAGATGTGCACAGAGACCGTGAGCACTGAGATCAATCCTTCTCCCTTCAAGCTGCCTCACTCCTCACCTGCTGCATCCAGAGGAAGAGAATGATGCCCACCCTCCCTGGGGCAGGCCAAACTCTTCCTCGTGATAGCCAAGATGGAGACCCAGAGGTTCCAAGTTTACTGAATTGCTCTTTCTCCTATTAAACAACCCAGACCTCTTCCCCCAGTTCCCCACACCATCGCCTTTTTTTATCAGCTAACTCACAGCCTTTGTCCTCATAGAACTAGGGGGGCTGCTGACCAAGGACTCACACTGCCAGAGGCACAGCCCCTCTGCAACAGCAGAACAAGGAAGGCCCCACATCTTACAGCCACAGCTGCACATGCAGAAAGGCAGTCCTAGCATTTGATAAGAAACCAGGAGTAGTTGCAGCTGACTGCAATTGCTTGGGTCCTTATTTGAGGCTTGCTTAAATACGGAAGAAGCACATCAAGGGTCAAAGTGGAGCAGGCTTGGTTATCCATTAAGGTTGGAAAAGACCACTAGGATCACCGAGTCCAACAGTGAACCCATCCCCACCAAGCCCACTGACCCTGTCCTACAGTGCCACATCTGCAGTTCTTGAACACCTCCAGGGATGATGACTGCCACTTCCCTGCAGGCCCTGTGCCAACACAGGGCAATTCCCAAGCTCTCCTATTCTGAGGTTTTGGACAAGTAGGACTGAGTCTTTGAGAGGCAAAACACACAGCTGTGGGTTAGCACAGTTCACCGGTTTGTTCTGTGTACCCAACTGGGACAGTCCCAATTGCAGACCCAATTCACTGCCCTGCTGCACTGGTGCAGAAGTTCCTGCAACGTGTGGTGCAGGAGCAGCCTTCAGCCCACTGGCATGCAGATCTCAGTAAGTAAAAGAACGGCTTTGTCAGTGGTTTTTCTGAGAGGAACACACGAGGTGAAGCTCTTGTCATACAGCGCTCATGAGCCCCAAGAACCAGGTGGGGAACACACGCCTGAGGGGCAGCACAGCGAGCCTCCCTGCCTCCAGGTTGGGTGTCCAACAAACTGTGCAGCCTGAGCACTGCAAAGCGTTGCGTCCCCTTGGGCTACAGGTACAGCAAATTCTCAGAGCTTGGTGCTGCAGAGAACTAAGTGCGCTGCCTCTGCACGTCACTCACCCGTGGTCCTTGACACTCAGGTCCAAGCTGTGCTCCTGCAAGGACTCCTGCCCACTGGCAGACGACGATCCCATGGCCTCCGCTGGCTCTTGCTTCACCTGGACTGGGTTGAACCGCCCGGGAGCTGCTGCTTGTCCATTTCCTGCTCGAGAGAGAAATCGAGATTGAAGGGAAAAGTGGAAATGGAAGAAGCAGGCCTGAGATGGGCAGCAAATAAAAAAGTTGGATCACTATCAGAACTGCACAAATGGAAAAAGCACAGAAAAAAGAGTGGGGGGAGGGAAGTGCCGGGATTGCTGGTCAGCGTTTATTGCCGAGCTGACATGATAGGTTCTGACGTCCACTCCAGTGTGGAAATTCTTCAAGTGATAATTATTGCAAAATTATGTCAAAGTTGTCCAGGCTATGGGCCCTTTAAAGGAGAAGGGCGGAAGGAGCGTGGGGGAGACCTGATTCTCTGCACAAACTGTCATAACTAATTTGCGGGGCTGCCTCTTAAGCGTTTATTAAAGACTCCGTTAATGCTGAGGCAATGTGGCAGCTTTCGACTGCCGGCCAGGCCCCGGCCCCGGCCCCAGTCCCGGCGTTGCCGTAGCGACGGCCGGGCGCCATCGTGCCTCCCAGCAGGAGCATCTGCCCGCCGGGCAGCCACTGGGCACGGCCCGACCCACAGCTGGGGGACCGGGGGGCACGGTGCCATGCCTGTGGCACGGAAATGCAGATACAAAGAGAGGAGGAAGAACCGGAGAACAAATTCAAGGGACAAAAATTAAGGAGAGGAGCAAAGAAAAAAGGAGGGAAAAAAAGTTGCTGACAGGAACACGTCTGCAGAGCTTTCTTCCACAATCCCCAAGTGACTAAAATATTAATTTGCCCTCCGGCAGTACAGCTGATGGCAAGCCGCTTCTCAGCCAGCAAGTGGCATTTTATTAAAAAATAAAGGAAAATAGTTCCCTCCATGACCTTTCTCTGCTTTAGGAAACAATTTTTCAAATCGTAATTTCAAAAGCGTGGCGCAGATCCCCTCCCCTTTCAGCAGAGCGCCTCGTCCCACGCTCAGGAGCGGTGCTGACAGCGCCCAGCTCAGGCCCAGGGGGCAGCGCCATGCTGGGTGCTGCCAGGCGGAGCCCCCCAACCCCACACTGCTGATCGTGGTCAGCAGGAGGCCACGGGGGGCACCTGGTGCTCTGCTGGGAGCCCCCAGGCCTCGGCCTAGGTGGCAGCACGCCCCGTTCGCTCGGCCATGCAGATAGCCAGGCTCCACGGGAAGCCATGCCAAGATTGCCTCGGAGGGTTCCCTTCCTCCAAGGGTTAGCTGCCATTCAGGGGTCATCTGCACACGACAGAATTTCTTCTCCCAGAGCTGCTCCTTTATTACTCCCTTCCCACTCCCAGGGGGCCCCTCATTCTCTCCTCTCCGGATCATCAGGCACGCTTGTTCCTCCCACTGCTAGGACAACCGATGATGGCAACTCACCTGCTTCGAGTGCCACAGAGGGCTTAAGTGCAGCCGCTGCCAGCCTGGCCATCATCGGGGAGATTAACCCCTTGCTAGCAGAGATCCTTTCCATTATGGATGCCACTGGAGCTGGAGAAGAAGTAGCCGAAGGCTCACCGGATCCTGAGATGGCCTGGGATGAGGAATCTGTGGGAGCAGATGATGTTGGATTGGCGCCAGATGAACCAGCAGTCATCAGGTTAGCGGAGCTGGCAGGAAGCGGTGTGGAGACCCGGCTGGGGATGATGGGGAAGAAGGATCCAGCCGCTCCAGGAAGTGCTGAGTTGGAGAGCGCCAGAGCCAAGGGAATATTGCTGGGAAGAGCCTGGGAGAGCAGGCCGGAGATCTTGGTGGCTGGTGTCATGCTGTTGGCAGGCTTGCTGACCTGTGAGGAAGCAAGCTCAGCAGCAGAGGAGGGTGCAGCTGGGACTATGAGAGAAACGGAAGACTGCTGACTGGTGGGAGAGGCACTCAGGCTGGAGTTCTTTGAGCTCATTGCAGAGAAGTCAATAAGGTCGTCATTACTGGACTCCTCTTGCTCGTTATCCTTGGGTCCTAGGAGAGAGGCAGGCAGGCCCAGCACTCCTGAGCTGCGGATGTGCCGGCGCTCATGCTTGCGTTTGTGGGAGGTCATCTGGCTGGTGGAGGTAAAGGTGAAGCCACAGCCTGCCCTTATGCAGTGAAAGTGGTTGGTGGCCTTGCTGTAGACACAGCCCTCATACTTGCATTCCTCATACTTGTAGAACTTCTTGAAGCCATCCTTGGCATAGGCATCATCTTTGATGTGGTAGCTCTTGTGCTTCTCAATGTCACACTTGTTCTTGAAGGTGAAGGTGCACCCAGGTCGCCTGAAAGGGCATCGAGGAGGAGAGAGTGGTTGCCGTGTGGGCCAGGAGCACAGTGCAACTGCTGTCACATGCCACCCTCTGGGACAAGGACTGCAGGCAGTATGAGGCAGTGGCCCTGGCTACAAAGGGGCTGAAGAGTTTTATGTAAGTTAACCTGCAACACCAAGTCAAGCAAAAAGTGCTGCTGTGTGAGACAGCTTGGCAGCCATCCCCACTCTGAGGAACAGCCAGGATAACGTGGGGATGCGCCCAGCACTGCAAGTGCCAACTGAAACAGAGGCTAAAGAGAACTAAGGTACCAACTACGCTTTTCCACTCTTCCTGAGAACATGAGAAATCAATAGAAGAGCGTTTGTGTACAGAAGGTAGAGTCTGGCTCTGAAAGGGATGAGCTGGCTGGAGAGAACTCTAGCATGAAAGTGCCATTAGCAGTATATTAGTGTCCCCCTGAGCTGAACTCTGGCATGAACTGAGCACTGTGATCTCCTTCCCAAATGATTGCTGGATGTCTTTTCTTTCTTTCCTCAGATCACCACAGACAAGCCACCTGTGTTCTGTGCTAAGATCCTGGCAATCACATCTGCCCTGGAGCGTGAGCCCTCTCAAGGGCAGCACTGAGAAGGCCACACCAGGGAAGAGTCAGTCCCTGTGTACTCTCCTGAATTCCTGACTTGGCAGAAGGAGGCAAACATCCATCTGCCTCCATCTCAGAGGCAGGATCCCTGCCGTTCCCAGCTCTCACCTGCAGTGAAAATGAGTGGTTTTCTGCCCGTAGAATTGGCATTCCACAGTGCCACAGTCCTCCGTGGCGCGGAACCGCTGAAACCCGTCGTTGATGAGCTGCGTGTTCTTCTTGTGAAAATTCTCATGGGTCATCACGTCAGAGGTGCTCGTATAGACCTTGTTACAGCCCACCTAGCCCAGGCAAAACAGGCAGTCGTCAGCACAGTGTTCTAACGTCCCACCATGATCTTATTAACATCAGCAATAATAAACAGATGAGCAGCACACGTACATTTAACAGTTCCATTTGGGCATTTCTCCTAGGAGCATTAAGTCATCACTTTAATTCCCCATCTAAAGACTGAAGCATTGTCATGAACAAAAACAGAACTCCCAGGGTACGAAACGGAAAAAAAACCAGAAGGATGCAAAGGGATAGAAGCCCAGCTACAGATAACTGTGCCTGCTTGGGGAGAAAGCGAGCAGGGTTCCCACTCTTCAGAAGACTGACAGATACCAATACTTTTTGTCATCTTGGAGTGACACGGAATGGAGTAGGACTTGTATCTATTAGAAGAAACTGAAATCGCCTGGGAGTGAGTTATTTTCCTCCTTCCTTTCTCAGAAAAAGGCAGAGTGGTGCAACATGAGGCCAATCTTTTGAGCTTGCAACACCAGGGTTTCGTCTGAGCGAAGCACAAACCCTACGTTCAGCAGATCTTAGCAAACCGGTGGCTGCTTTTCCCTGCTGCCTGTTCAAGACTACTGCATCTACAATTTTAAACTCGGGCAGCAAATGGGAATGGTGTGACGAGGACGGAATGCTGAAAACCTGCCTTCCGCTGGGTAAAGCGGGCAACTTTGCCATATTGAGTAAAAAAACACTGGAATCTGAAAACGTCCTCAGCCCTGCTGAGGGAGGATTTTTTTTTTCCCTTTTCTTCTCCAGCACAACGTGTGCCAATGCCTGCACCATCTCAGAAGTGAAGAGAACGAAAACACCACCTCTCAGTTCAGCCCAGGTTGATTCAAACAGGCAATAACAAAACCCATGACAAATACCCAGGAAAAAAAGGATCTCCAGCTATTTCCAATATAAAAGAGCCTCTCTCTCTCTGCACTGACACCTTGAAAAAAGACAGACCCTGCACGGCATTAAAAAAAAGAATTAAACAAAAACCTCCTTAGGAATAATTTGCAATGCAGCTCTTGGTGCTAAAGCCTAAAAAAATGTCAGTTTATATAAACAACTAACTGAATTTTATCCACACCAATTATGGACATAAAGAAAAAAAAACCCCACGAGATGGATGGCACAAATCCTGCCATTTAAGCAATATTTTCTTTAATTGAGGGTTTATGTTCAGACACCTTTCCTGTAAGGCACTGCTTACATGGGCATTGTTTCACTGGAAGACAGTGGGCACGGCGTGGAATTACCCATATATAGTTGTGTAAAAGAGGGTCTCTATTCAAACTCAGAGTGACTTAAAGCTGTGAAACGTTCCTTGTACTCTAGAAAATTAAACAAGACTCATCCTGGTCAATTGAAGAAAATGAGTGATGAATATTATGGAAGAATAACAGAAAATGTCCTCAAGAGAAAGTCACACCAAGTTCCCCATTTATCAAAAGCCTGTAAGCACGTGCTTCAAGCAGCCCCTATTCAGGACAGTACTTGAGTGCATGCCTAACGTTTAAGTATGTGCTTAAGCCCCATTGACTTCAGAAAGCTTACCTGACTTCAAGTCAAATATATGCTTAAGTCTATCCCAGCAAAGCATTTAAGCATGTGATTAGGGCCTTGTGACTTTAACTGTGGTCTTAAACTGTTGGGATTGAGTGGAAGGGAGACATGGGTCACAAAAGCTTTCACCAAGGGCTGCTTGATTATTCTGTTTGGTACGACAGCACATGATTCAGGCCATAATTTTAATGAAACAAGCAGGTATCAAACCCTCTAATCTGAGGCACAATCAGGAGAAGACCTGAATAATCTGGTGTGTCCATGTCAGAAAAACAGCAGAGGGGTCACGGTCACACCTGGGCAGCAGCCCCAGGTCTGGGAACACTGCTGTTGGCTCCTGAGTCAAAGCTCCCAGCTGACAGTACAGACATTTATCTCCAGTTCCATTGGCAGAGGAGATGGGGAACCAGGAGTGTCAAGTCTAGATACGTGACATAAAAATCTAATTACTTTAGAAATTGATTATGATTCACAGAATCACCTGGATTGGAAGGGACCTCAAGGATCATGTAGTTCCAACCCCCCTGCCTAGCAGGGCCACCAAACACACACATTCAGATCAGGTTGCCCAGGACCCCATCCAACCTGGCCTTGAACACGGCCAAGGACGGGGCATCCACAACCTCCCTGGGCAGCCCGTTCCAGGGCCCAACCACTCTCCTTGTGAAGAACTTCCCCCTAACATCCAACCTAAATCTTCCCTCCTTCAATGGGGGAAATGAAGCCAGTGTTAAAGGGCAGATGTTCCATAGAAAAGCCTGATTTCAGGGGAGCACCAGATCAGTTTGGTAGCAGCAGCACAGTGGTGTCAAAAGAGGTCCCTGAATCTCAGAGAAGGGACTGTCTTGAACCAGTGAAGTCCAAGACAACCTTGAGCCCTGCTTTGCCTCACTGCATGCACGGGGCTTCCACACCCAGAAAACCCTTCAGCCTGCCCAGCACTCGGCAGGGAGGTCAAGGAACAATCTCTTTGGAGAAGAGCCTGGATCAGAAGCAAACAGGAGCTCGGAGCAATGAAATGAGGGCTCCTCTGCTCTCTGGCAAAGACGGGCTGGGCTGTCAGATGTGAAGATGTCCCTCAGTCCACCCCAGCAAGGACACAGCTCCGCTCATCTCGTATGCTACCACTCCGTCCCCGGTCCGGCCGTTACCTGCATGCAGTGGTAGTGTGTGCTTTTCCCGTTCAGGTGGCAGCCGTGATAGTACACACTGCAGTCATCCAAGGGGCTGAAGCGCATGAAGCCGTGCTGGAGGGAATTATCACGTTTCTTGTGCATGTTGTAATGCCGAATCACATCCTGTTTACTAGTGAATCTCTGGAGAGATACAGAGACAGACAGAGTGAGACACACGTGAAGGGAGTGGGTGAGTAATCCTGGGAGCAGGGTTTGTTGTTGTTGTTAATAAACTTTGGTACCAGCAGTCTAAAGCTCAGCAGCAGTCGTCCCAAGAGAGCCAAAGTAGAGACCAACTGTGTGTCCATGTTTTCTCAATAAAGGGAAAGCGTATGCACATGAAAACCTTTAAACATCATAAACACGACACTGGGGTGATGTTCAGAATATGCTCCCTGCAGCTTTAAGACCGCAATTCTTCTAACATAATTTTAGCTGCTACTATCTCGAGGACTGCTATAGTTAGAAAGCAAGCCAGCAAACTACACCGCCTGCAAGAGAGACATCCAAGCTCCCAGATCCCTCACTGCAGTGGTTAGTGAGACACTGGCTGCCACATTCATGTCAGACTAGAAACTGGGAAAAACAGTCTCTTACAGCATCTTCCTGGTGTCGGTTGTCTGCCATCCCTACAATGGCTGTTTTAGGAAAATGAGAACACAGAATTTTCTTCTGGTGACAGATATGCTGGTAGCAGAGCTCAGAGCCAGATGAGGATGACCAGAAGATCCCTCCCATCCTCTACCTGCCTGAAGTAATGAGGGGATAGCCCGCTCTCAGAGCAGGATAAGTGCCTTTAAAATGAAGCTTTTCATTTCTATTTCCCACAGACATCAATATTTAACAGAGAAGGTGGGAAAGTAAATCTGATTTTTTAAAAGAAATCAATATCCATTTATTTTGAGGAGTAATTGAAAAGCCCTGCATTCTAATGTTTAACAACTTTTCTAGTCTCCCTCACAGGAAACAAATGATTATCGCTTCCACTCTCTCCTTCCATAATATCAATCCTGATCAATCTCACTGGTATTGGCATGAGAATAGATGGATACAGATTTCAACAGGAATCCCTTGGAGGCCGGAGGTATGATTTCCCTGGGTGTACATACAGGATTGCTATTGCCAATCATCGTTAATTTGTGCCCACTTATTACAGAGCGTTACTTATTATAAAATATATCTCAGCCATAAAATAATTTGCATTTTAAAAAGCAGCCTAAATCCTTATTCCCTGCGAGACCAGACAGCTCCTTTGCAAGCAGCTCCCAGACTCTTTAGGAAATAATCATGAGACCAATCACAATAATAGGTTTTTCTGTCTTTCCATTCTTTATGTTTCTCTTTCCTGGTGCACAGATATCTGTGTCACAGCTGGGACAGACTCATCTCAATTACTGAGTGCCAGGCTAGGAGCACCACTGTGTGCATCCCAGAAAAAACCCTCCTCTGATCAATAGAAACCACAGGCAAACTCAGCAGAGCCAGATCAGCTCTCGTGCTGTGGTCAGGCTCTCACTCCCATGAGACCAGAAGGTCCCCCGGGTAGGGCAGAAGTTGCATCTCATGCACAGCAGAGGTGAACTCTGGGATTCCCTCTTACACACTCTCAGCCTGACCACAGAAATGGCAGAGTCAAGCTCACAGACCTGGGAAGAGGGTAAACACTCAGCACGTGATGCAGCTTGCTTTGACGTTGCTGCCCTGGCAGATCTCCCAGCAATTACAGCATCGGACATGCTCCTGCCCCCAGCTCTCCCCACAGATGCCGGCCTGCTGCTGGTCTTATTGGGTGTTTTGTTGCAGCTACTGCCACTGCAGCCTCACTTGGGCAGCAGGAGGCTAACAGAACAGCACGCCCTGCTTTCAGCCACCATCTGTACCAAGGCAGAAGTTATCCTCCTGCTTTCACTGGTGTAAATCTGGAGTAGTTCCCACTGGCTTGAGCTGATCGATACTCTAGCAAATTCAAAATGTATCTTGCCCTCTTTTTAGAGCAGAAGAGTGATGACATGAGGGAGGATAGCACAGACAACATGCACCTCCCCTAGGCAGGACCCTTCCCACTGGGCGGCTGTGCCGTGATACCCCTTCCTTTACCTGGTAGTTGCACTCTGGGTCAAGGCAGTGGTAATGTTCTCGGTACTGGTATGCACAGTGTATGTGTCCACAGTGCTGGCTGCCAGAAAACCTGTGTGCACGAGAGGAGGACAGGAGAACAGAGAATGAAACGGTGTCCTGAGAGCAGTGTCTGTGTGCAAGGTATAAACAGAGCGAGCCCCACTCCTGCCTTCATCCCATGTGGCCAGGGCACCCAAACCCACCTGCTTTATCACCTCTGAGGACAGTGGCCCTTCCCACCTTTCTTTTCTTATTTGTCTCTATTTAAACAGGTGTTTCCTGAGAAAGATCCTTCCGGGCTTTTACCTCCTGAATCTGCATACGTTTTTTCTTTGAAATTCACCTCTATTACCTCAAAGTTGCTTACTTGTGGAAAAGTAAGAAAGGAATTAAATATCACACAATTCTGGAATTCTCATTAGTGAGTTTGGATAGCTCAGCAGTGAGTTTCAGAAACCTCCCACACCACAAGGAAACAAATGAACATCGGTCACACACGTCTACCAGGATCACAGAAAGCTCAGAAATTCATTAGTGCAAGTTATGTCTCCATTTGGTGTCACACTACAGAGGAGGCTGCAACCTGCAGAATGGAGGGAAGCCACGGAGGCAATGCAACACCATGGCAAGATTATATGGCAACTGAGTATGATGGAGAGAGCAAAGGAAGACGAGGAGAGATGAGAGAACAGTGAAGCACTGCAGGCAGTCACCTCTACCCTGTGTACAGATTCTTCCTATGCACTGCTGATGGTTATTTTCCATGTGGATGCATTTGCTCACAGCTAACCAGCACAAGGCAAAGGCGTAGGATTTTCAGCGTGCCCTTAAAGAGCAGTTAGGAGCAGAGCACCCACTCCATGCTGCCTTCCATGCAGCAAATCCGTATAATTCCTGACATAAAGGGTGAGAAAAAAGGCAGCGACGCCACATGGCAGCTGCAGACAAATGGACAGTGCACTGAGTGTGCTGACAGACAGAGCAGTGGCTGGCAAAGGAGGATGCTGTGGTGCCAGGCTGATGCGTGCGGAGATCTTCAGTGCGTATACCTGGGGAAACCGGAGGAGCTGAAGAGCTTGAAAGGGAAAAGCAGGGAGGGAAGGGGACTCAGAGGGGAAACATTCAGAGATAAAGTGCCATCTGCTCAAAGGTTCCTCCCGTCACTTCATGCTAAACGCACCGGGAGCACAGATGATAAAGGGCATCAGAAAGAAACAAGGAAGGGCAACAGGGAAAGGGGAAAAAAGGAGGAGTGAGGGTGTCCTGGGGCAGCAGAGGAAGGGGCAGCAGCAGGAGAGATGGTGGAGCACCAAAATGCAGGGTAACGTTAAGCTGCAGGACAGGAAAAGGAGCCAGGATGGAGAGCAGTACTAAATAAGGCATTTCTGGAGTGCAGTGAGGAAGAGGAGGTCAACTGCAGAGACAGCAGGGCCTCCTGGAGATGGAGGGGGGATTTAATTGACAGAAAAGGTAGACGTTGCTAAAAAATTAAATTACTTTTTTTCCTCGGCATTCACAAAGGGAGACAGGGACAGATGCCAGGAGCAGACATGCCCTTCCCTGGGGAAGGAGAAGAAATACCGCAGGAAATCGGGATCACGTCAGAACAGGTGATTGAGAAACTGGAACAAACCCTGGCAGTGGAGAAGAAACAACCCACAAAGCAAACAGCAACGCTGGCTGCACAAATAGAGGGCACGAAGCAGCACTGAGGGAACTGGTCCTGCTGGTCTGGGGCTTGTGGAAAGGCCAAGGAGCTGTGGGATGGCACGGGGAGAGCAAAGAACTGCGCAGGGCTGGGGAGATGGGGTGTGCGGGCCAAAGGGACACTTGGCAAAGGCAGAGCTCGGGGAGAGCTGCCCCAAAGAGCACGGAGGGAAAGGATGATGCAGCAGAGATGCCAGCTGCAGCAGAAGGGCTGGACATCAAAGAACTCTGCAGGCAGCTGAGCATGCCGGGTGCTGGGGGAAGGATGGACGCAGCACACACGGCTCGGAGGGGACGGGCTGCTCCTTCAGCCCGCAGGGTGAGGTTCCTAAAGGGTTATCTTTATCCCGTGTTTCTTCTGACACTTGAAACAGTTCAAAGCTATTAATTTTTAAAGCACAGCAGCTGTTTAGCTTTTTCATAACAGGAAAGCTCGCCCAGCACACACTCACTTCCACGCATCCACACGCGCCCATTTCCATGCACACGCTCTGAGGTGCATCAACACCCCGATTAATTTACATGACCGTCCGCACAATTTCCATGCACACCAACAGGCGTGAGCACACACACACCTGATTGCAAACTCAGGCCATTTCATCACGCTGATATGCAAATCCAAACTCGTAAGCTGTGAGTACAGGCACAGATTCATTTCACAATTACACCTCCCTCCCCTTCCCTCACTTTAATCTCTGCGCTTTCTTTTTTTTTTTTTTTCTGGCCAAAGAACCAGTCTTGATCTGGCAAGAGTTAGAAAGAAAAACTAGGATAAATAAATAATAATAAAAATAATAAATAAAGGAGTCGGCATGCTTAGTGAGTGTTTACAGACTCATTACCCTGTAACGATGATGTGAAAGAAGGAAGAAAAAAACCCACCCCAATTACAAGGGGGGGGAGGAAACCCACACAGAAATAAATATTTAAGCAAGTGCTGCCAGAAGCACCATCTGCTGAGGCACTAATAATAATAATAATAATTTTTTTTCTGTGGTCTTTTTTTTTTTCTTTTTAAATTATAAATATAGAGAAAAACAAAAAATAAAAAAAAAAAAACCAACCCACCCCAAACTAGCTAAGTAAGAGGTTTTGTTTTGTTGTGTGAGAGAATGGATTATCCCTGGGCAGCTTTTGGCAATGGCTCTGGCAAACTCATTAAGCTAATTATGCAGCGCAGACATACAGTGTCGTGTCTCTCTTCCCCCCCTACCCCCTCATTTTAAGGCTTAGAACTGTTTTTAAAATTGTGTGTAAATGGAAGGGATGTGGCTGGGCCGCCAGCGGGCGGCTTGCGGAGCTCTTTGAGCAGGATGTGGTGTCCCTGCGCTGTCTCAGCAGCCTGCTCGGTTACCTGCCCAGGGGAAGGGGCTCGCCGAGCACTCAGAGCAGTGGATGCGGTGTGGGGTTCGAGCAGGGCTGCGCGAGAGGGGAGCTGGGGACAGCGAGAGCGGCGCCGCCTCTGAGCGAAACCCGGCAGGCTCAGCAATAAAAGGGCGCTGCTCCTTCTGCGCCGCGCAGCCGTGGGCCCAAAGCCTGCTTTCCTTCCTGTGCCCTCCCAGGAGGTGGGGAGCTGCTGCGTGCACCAGAGGAGCTGCACGCGAGTGGCCTCCTGCCCCCCTTCTGCTCCAGAAGGCATGTGGGCAAAGGGGCTCCAGGGGCATCGCTTGCTCCCACCCTCCTGCCCTGCCCATGTGCCCAATCCTCCCTGCAGCTCCCCTGCAGCTGGCTCCCCCAGGAAGCCCCCACAGTCTTGGGCAAGATGGGGAAGCACAGTGCACATTCCCCTCCCCTCCTGTTCCCCATGTGCTGGTGGGAACAAATCCTTCAGCTGCATTTGTGGAGAGAAGTGCTCGCTGGTGTGGCTCTGTACACAAGGGGCTCTCACGGTGAGCTCCTCGACAGCACCAAAGGAGGATTCAGGGGCTGGGAGCAGAGGCTGACGAGCTCCAAAGCAGGCAGGTGTTCTGCAATAATCTCCTCTCTCCCTCTGGCTCTGATGGCATTACTCTGTGCCACCGCTGCAGCTTGGGCTCCTTTTCAGCACTGCTCATTCCTGCTTGGCCAGAGCTCAGCCAAGGTGCCCCAGACTGCACACAGCCAGCGAGGGTTTTCAAGTAACAGAGCTGCAGAATATCCCCTTCTGGTTCTGAGAGCTGCCCAACCTCGATTCACTTGTGGATTCCTCCCAGCCTGTGCTCTGAAGACGACATGTCCTTCTGCCTCCACTGGGCACGGACACAGCGGGGGAAAAGGCTGGAACTGGCACAGCAAGGGGCACAGAGTGACAGCTGAGACACGGCGCTCCCATTTACATCACAGGCTTCTGCAGTGAAACATTTTTCCACTATTTGTCACAAGTCTAGCAGCTCTGGGGAGCCGAGCACGCTCTTGGCATGCCTGTACACCTCTCACAGCTACTGCTATCCCGAGCAGGGGAACAGAGTGAGCGCAGATGCCAGAAGGAAATGGAAGTGCCAGCAGCTGGTTTTAAACACTTGGGCCAGATGGACAAACCTCATCTCTCCAAGGCTCATTCTACCCTCTTTCTCCCAGCCCTCTCACCAAGAAAGAAGACAGTTTTGCCTACCTGGCAATATACTTCTGGTAAATATTTACATCTTCGCTGACGGTGGGTTTGTCAGTGGGTAATCCATTCCTAGGGAGAAACAGAGGACAGAGCTGGTCAGCAGCAGGGGCAGGCACAGCTCCTTGCTTCTGCACAGCACCACACACCAAGAGGGAGGTGACCACACGCCGTCTGCAAACCAGGGATGGCCACATGAAGACAGAGGCCTCCCCAAAGCACCTTGCAACACTGCCCATGTTTACACAGATGGGGCAGCAGAGGCATTTATTTTAATCTCTAAAAACCAACCGAACACCCATGCCACATGAGCTTAGGTTTCTTGGCACCAATTGGAAACATAAAAATTACATCCTCGCTGAGTTCTGCAAGAGGAAAAAAAGCTCCAGGGCAGGCTAAGCCCATTTGAGACATATTGGCCCATCAGCACAATCCTGGCTTCAACAAGGACACCTTTGCCCAGGTTTACTCAGAGCAGGTAGACGAGTTCCTAGCATTGAATGGTTGAGTTTCAACCTGTGGTATATGTGGATATGCACAATTCCTGCCAGGTTACTGGGTTTCAGTGGGGACTGAATGGAAAACCAGGTCCCAGAGAGAAGTTAGCACAGCCAGCAGGTTGCCTTCTTTAATCACAGAAGCCTGTCTGTAGCAAGCAGCCCGGAGGAGAAGGACCAGAGCCACTTCCGAGTTCCATGTGAGCACGAGAAAGGAAATCAAACTGGAATCCCCAGGCAGATGGAGGCTCACAGCCTCCACGCGGTGACCACTGAGCAGCTGAGTGCTCAGGATACTGCAGGCACAGAGGCTCTGGCCACGTCACCCATCACAACAAGGCACGGTGCCTACAGGAATATTTACAGCCGTGTTCTTTAGTAATAGCAGTCCCTGCCTGCCATCTGGAGCACGTACCAGGTTCTTCTCACAGGGGGGGTCAGATAATAATCTTTTACCCTTTCTTGACCCTAACCACAGAGCTCCCACATCTGTCTGCAGGCAGCTGGGGCATGGCTGCCTCTCACAAAGGCAGGATCACCAGCTCTGCGCATCAGTCAGGGAAATGTGGCACTGATAAATCAGTGGCATGTCAAATCAGAAGGTTTTTTACGCAGTTTGACTCTTTTTCAAAAGATTCTCATGACAGAAAGACCCATATCAGCCCTGGCACTCTCACTGCACCATGGCATTTAAACGCAGTCATCCCTGGTACATGCACTGTGCAGTTGTGTCTGTGCCCCTCGGGTATGCGTGCAGCTCTTCTACAGCTGCCACCTTGGGAAGCCAAACTACACAGTAATACAAAGTTTGGCAAGGCCGTTGACTATCTCTATTCAGTCAATGGCATCACTGCAGAGATTGCCAGCAATGTGTAAGAGGTCATTAGTGGTATTTGGGCTAATGAGTTTGCCCAGTCTGCAGGGTAACTGAATCACATCCATTTGTGTAAGGAACAAGCACACTGAGAAGACACAGGCCCAGTCCCATAAAAGTACATGTATGCCTAATTCCTGTAAAATCAATGGGAATTAGGCACAGAAATGTTCGGGATGTTCCAGGACATACAAAGACTCCCTCTCTATCACTCAGCAGTTTTGCCACTGAGTTAAATGGAAGCAAGAATCGGTTTCTCACAGCATGGCTGGCTGCCTGGGGCACTGGAGGAAGAGGGAAGGAAGCAGTTATGATCTTGACCTCAGAGCGCTGACAGCACCATGTCCCCTTATCTCTCCTTTCAGCATACGAGCCCAGGAGCTAGCAGGCTCTGGATTCATGGCTGTGACTGCTGAGGGCAGGCCACATCCTCAGCACAAGACAGAGATGGAGAGTGTGACAGGAGCAGACACAGAGAGCAAAGAGAAACATCTCACTAACAGTGCAGTACGTATCAGTACACGGACTATGATTTGCTACTGACCCATGCACTCGCTAACACAAAGCTAAGAACAGTGGGAGGACACTTACTTCACTGTAGAGACTGTTCCAGTTGTGATGGAGTCTGTCTTGGAGAAAGTCGACTTCAGGTACTCAGGAGTGTTGAATGGCAAGGAGACAGCCTGCTCCGGGCCGGCCATGGGAGTGCTGCTGGGGGTGCTGGCGAGAGGAGCAGGGGCCAGGCTGGGTGTTGGAGCTTTCACCTGAGTGAGTTTCTGAATGTTCCTCACATCGTACTTGGAAGGCCGGCCCACCTTGCCTGTCTTGAAGGCGATGGCTCCTCCCATGTCTGGGCTGCCTTCCCCAGGCTTGAAAAGGTGCAAGTACTTGACGTTTTCTAGGTCATACTTGGAGGCCTTCTTGTAAGTGTTGCCGTTCTGTGGCCTGATGCTCTCACCCGTCTTCAGCTTCTGAATGAAGAAGTCGTATTTGGAGGCCCGTGACATCAGGCCCTGCATCTGGGAACTGCTGGGAGAGGGCAGCGGCAGGATGGTGGCTTTGGTCTCCGTCAGCATGGAGGCATCTGGACCTGGCAGCCGAATGGGCTGCGCCAGCACCGAGGAAGCTTCTTTGCCCAGCTTGGAGCCCAGCTCCTCAGACTTGGCCAAGTGCATGGGCCAGGAGAGCTGCTCTCCAGCCTTGAGCTTGCGGATGTACTCCTCGTACTTGGAGAATCGAGCTCGCTTGCTCATGGCGTCCTCGCCAGGGAGAGAGGCTGCAGCTGCGGTGGCCTCTGAGGTAGCAGCGTTCAGCTTGTCGAAGCTGATCTTGCGGGCCAGCTCATCCCGCATGTTCTGGTCATCGTAGCCAAACATGCCCAAGAATTCATTCATGGTGGTGGCAGCGTAATCTCGCAGCGACGAAGCTTCCCCTGCAGAGAACCAGAGGGAGAGAGTCATGCAAGGGGTTGATTTTTCTTCTCCTCCCATACCAGCACTGGTAGCGAGGAGGGGGGTTAGGAGGAGAGGGGAGCATGATCTACTGACGTTTGGCTCACTTGTTAGGTTTTACGACTCTTAAATTAATTTGTTTTAAAAAAAAAAGTAATTAATACTGGGGTAAAATAAAAAGAGTTCATCAATGCCAGGAAAATCAATTTCCTAAATGTTCTAGCCGATGGCTTTTCAGTACATTAAACAAAGTTTCATAAATGTCTCTGCACTCTCGCCTTGGCCTAATATGAAGAAAAAGTAATTTTACTGGAAGTGAGACCAATGCCAATATGCTGAGGTTTATGCGGTTCTGTCCTTGTGTGAGTGTGTGTGTGCATGGACAGACCCACGGCGATGGGCCGCAGTGCTGGTGACCATAGGGGTGCAGCAGGAGAGGGCAGAGTGGGGCGGTGCTGAGCAGGCAAGGGAGGCAGAAGAGGTGGGGATGAAGGAAGGTAGGGCTGCATGCCTGAGCAGCTCGTGGGAAGGAGAGAGGGAAAGGAGTGGAGAAGCCAAGACAAAGACAGGATGGTTCCAGTGGTCGCTGCAGTCCTTCTTGCAGTTCTCTTCAGCCCGCTTTCTCCCAATGACTGGGGAGTTTCTCCTTGCCACACGCCAAGGGAAAGCAATTCAGTGAGGACAGTGGAAACCTACTGGCTGCATCCTGAGCAGCCAAGAACAGCTCCCAGTACAAGAAAAGGGGAAAGCCTGCGCAGGTGCCAAATGGATGCAGCATTCTCTCCATCAGCATTTGGGCTGAGGACACACCATGTGGGCTTCAGAGAGAGGAGGTGCGCTCCCTCCAGTGAGTGGGAAAGGGGCAGGAGGGGCTGCTCTGCCTGGGGGCACCAGGAGACCAGGCAAAAGCTCTTCCCAGGTTCTCTCCCTCCCCTGTTCCCCTTCCTGGGCCAGCAGGGGAAGAACACACATCTGGAGGTCACCCAATATCAGTATAAAGAGGAAATACAGATTGTTCTGATGCGGCAGCTTGGACTCATTTGGGCTTCAGTCTGACACAGTGTTTCTCCTCCTCCTCCTCCTCCTCCTCCTCCTCCTCCTCCTCTCTCTCTTGCTTTCTCCTGCAGAGTAAAGATTTACTGTGTGCAGCAGTCCTTCAGACCTCCCCTATCATCCTTTCCATTCACTCACATGAGCTCTGGGGTAGGCAGGCTACCACAGGAGCACCAGCAGGGGCACAGGAGGCAGGTGGAGGGTCTGGGCACTGGGTGCAAAGCTCAGACCCAGACAGCACAGCTTTGGAAAAGAAGGCATCGAGCCACAGAAGTTGTTAACAGACCCAAAGCATGAAAACAAACCTACGAACTGGGGAGCTGATAGCCTGCAATGCCACACGCCTGGGCATGCATTTACACAAGCACTTCTGCACGCACAAGTGCCAGTCAATGAGCAATCTCACAATTTAGCAGCCATCAGCTTGCACAAATCTGCTTCCACAGGACTATGAGGAGGAAGAGACTGCCTCGAGCAGGCACTAAAATGTGCGTGTCTGTGAGGGTCACATTCCTGTGTCAATACTGCTCGACACAGCTGAGTTCACAGAGCAGAACTGCTGCTGCACCAGTTCCCCGGGTACGTGAGAAAGGCCGCACACAGAACATGGCTGCAGCCTGCAAGCAGCACGTTGCAGGCACCCTGCCCAGTGCTGGGGGTTGCTTCAGCCCCAGATCACCTGCCAGTTAGAACTGCATTGGATTTTGGGATGCCCAATTTCAGAACAGGCATCCTGACAGGTACAGAATGGGCAGCAGTGTCCCTGCAGGTGGGGGCTCTGGATGTAGCTTTTGGTCCTTGCACATCCTGGGGGTGTTAAACACAGAATCAGACCCACAGAGCCCAATAACAAGCCTTGTACCCTATTCACAATAACAAGCCTTGTGGCCAGACTGGTGCAGAGCTCAGATGCACAACCCAAGACCATTGGGAAGGGTGAGCTTTCAGATCTTCTGAGTTTTGCAAAGTGTGAGCGTGAGCTCAGGTTTCAGCACCCCAGATCTGATCCCCTCATCCCCCACAACACCCCGCATTGTCTGTCTCCCTTTGCTCAGGTTTGGTTCTGCGACACCTCCCCCGATGAACGGCTTTGTGAGCGTTGCTGTCATTTCTCATCCACGTTTAGGTGGAACCTTGGCCAGCTCCCGCTGCCTACAGAGCACACCTTCCCTCATCCACCAACACACCCCTACAGCCCTGACAACCTCCACGTTTCTGTAGCTAGGCAGAAGGCTGGGGGCTCTTGCGTTCCAACCTGAGACCCTTCCAACCCACTCTTGTTACCGAGCAGACAGACAGCTCTCCCGTACCCATGTGCAGACAGAAGCGAAGCAGAAGAAAAGCGGCTGAGAAACGAATCCCTGTGAAAAGTGAGCAGCCCTCCCCCTGCATCGCATTTTTCTCTCCCCTTCTGTGTGATAACAAAAGGGCTCCCTCTCCCCTCGCTGCGGCTCTCCATTTGTGGGCATTGCCAAAGAGCAGAGATCTGCGAGTCTCAGAGCAGCTATCATATCACAAAGGATCCGGAGCTAGCAAAAAAGGGGCTAAAAATAGCCTGCAGCAGCACACTATATATGGAAGGAAAAGCAAAACAGCCCAAATGGAGCTCAAGGTCTGGATCCTGGGGGATGGGGCATCCCAACCAGGGCTCTGTCCTTTATCCTGCTCGGGAGGGGGACGTGGAAATCTGGGGGCAGTAGGATAACGCAAGAGAAACTGGCACTTGTCATGCACATTCTTCCAAGTGGGCTCTGCCCAGGAAATCTAGAAGAGAAATATTCCCTTTGAAAGGAATATTTTGAAGGCTACTGCTCCCTTTCTGAGAGAGACAGCCCACAGGCTAAGAAAACTTTGAAAACCTGCACACAGGAAAGCTCCTGGTGACCGCTTTAGAACAGTGTGTAAGTAATGGGCAGAGGGAAGAACAGGGGACTGTGCAGGAAAATTCCCCCAGTGGGAAGGGATCCCGGTCAGAGCCTGTACCAGGAGTGTAAATGCTATATATAAACGTGTGTGGAGGACCGTGGGTCAGTCAGGGTGCAGGAGAGGGTGCGTGAATGAATGAGGAAACAGTGTGTGTGGGCAGGTCGGAGGCTGACACACATCTCTTGCCGGCCGCTGGCTCTGCAGCTCCTGGAGGCACACAGTGAGGCTCAGCATCGACTCCTCGGTCCTTGAGTGTTCCCTATGGGCATCAGCTGTCTTGTTGCAAAGCATGAGGACCAAAGAGCACGGAGCAAGCCTCTGCAAACTCCTGCGTGATGCCCAGCAAGCCCTGCTGCATGACCCTGGAAGGGGACACTGGTGGCAGGAATACTTTGTCCTCTCCAGCACAACAGATCCTTCACACTGCTTTCCAGGGAATCGCTGCCATCCACATTTACACCAGACTTCCTGAAGCAGACGACCAAGACCCAGCAGCACGTCCTCTGCATGTCAAACCCCGAGTGGCTCCGTATGTGAACCCCACGTGCCATTACCTGCCCCCTGTCCAGCCCCCAGTGACAGCTTACAGATCTTTGTGCAATCCTCTGACAGCACAGCCCACGAAAGGCATATCACTAACTCCTACCTGACAAAAAACCTCAGTTCCTTCTCATTTTCCACAGGTTGGCAATGTATTTTGACATTCTAGGTTCCCCTCCTTCTAGTTTTCATGGCAAATAAAAGCTGCAAATGCAGGCTAAAGGGAATTAAAACAAACTGAAAACTGAGTCCAGGCACAATCACCTTGTGTCTGGGAACGACAAGGGCTTTCCTATCAAAGGAAACTGAAGGTCACACTTTTCCTCATTGATCTTGCAATGTTTGTTAATTACTCTGTCACTGATGTGGCGAAGGATAATTAAACAGCTCTGTTTATATCTTATATGCATAATTATGTGCGCTGCCACTGAACTCGTGAAGACTAGAGAATGTGCCTCTCCAGAAGGGGAACGGACAGACGGAGATGAGTTTAGGCTGCATTATTAACAGGAGGAGGAAAACACAGGCACACACAAAAGGAGGAAAGTTTGATGGATTCACAAAGTGCTGAGATCAGGGGAGGGTGCACACAGGTGGAGCAGATTAGGGGGGGATCTTTCAATTATAGATCCAACCCAGCCGAGTGACAAATCAGGGGGAGGGAGCTGCTGCCCTAATAGAGAGAATTCAATCTGTCCTAAGCTTCTTCTGAAGCTTAGCACTAATATGGCCCCAAAAAATCAATCTGGGGGTCCGCATATCAGAAAACGAGCAAGAAACTCAGCTGGGGTTTTCCCCAGTAGCTGTGGCTGAACACAGATTTTGAATGAGGTAAAGAAATAAGATGTGAGCTATATGAAAATAGGAAATGCACACATAGGCTGGGGGAAGACTCTTTGCAACGACATCCAAGTCAGCGCCCAGTTCAGAAATGGGGGCTGCGCAGTTTTGAGAAGAGCAGCTCTGCTGGGCAGGAGATGGAGCTGCTGTGTATTACCCCTAACAAGGCAGGAGTGCCAGGGCAGCCCTCGTGGAGGGGCCAATGCTGGGTGGCAGCAGCCACTGGGGAAGAGGGGAAGCAGTGATGGAGCTTGACTGGGTGAGGGGCTGGGCATCTGTTAGAGGTTTCTTTTTTGTACAGCCCTTGGGTCCCACGGTCAGCTTTCAGCTTAGAGGGTATCACTGCTGGGTAAAGTCAACTGGTGGGCACAAGCACGCTTACACACTCTGTGTGAGAACAAACCTAGGGAAGATCTACTCTACCATTGGATCTGTGGTCTGGGAAGAGACCCAGACACATCCACCCCGCTAAGGGAGGGTACTCTGAAGCAGAGACAAAATGGTCACATTCCCAAAAGCAAAACACCCAGCAGCCAGGCAGGCCTCTGCTAGGGGACTCGGGGTCTCTAGCCCTCTCCTGGGCAAACACACCCAGCAGAAGCTTCGCCTTTCCCTCGAAACGTGTGGCCAAGTCACCGCCCCATGCAGGGGTGGGTGGCAGGGCCTTACCTGAGGTGGTTCCCAGCTTGGAGGCCGCCTCGCTGGAGGCCCGGTACGCGTCATCCTTGGAGGCCGCCCCGTCGGAATCCCTGTCGTCCAGGAATGTGCCATCCTGCGAGCCCCGCAGCGCGTCTGCCTCGTCCCCGTTGTCCTCCTCGTCGCTGCAGCCCTTGGGCTGCACCATGTAGACCCCTTCAGGCGGCACCTCCGCACCCTCGGCGCCCCGGCATTCCTTGCCCTCGGCCCGCCCCAGCAAAGGCTCCTCGTACTCCCCGTTCACCCACTTCTCGATCACCTCCCTCCTCTTGTCCTCCTCGATCTTCTGCACGTGGCTGAGTCCGTCTGAAAACTCAGTCCCTGACTCCTTGGTCCCGGGCTGAGGCAGATCCTTGTTGCTGCTCTCCCGCTGCGGCCCTTTGTCCGCACGCGCCTGCTCGGCTCCCCCGTGGTCGAAGACAACCTGGCGGCTCAGCTTGGCACAGATTGCATTTAGCTTCAGGCCGCCTTTGCGCTTGGCAGCCATTGTGGGTTTTCCTGAGGTTGCGTCAGTGCATATAGTTCTTTCAGCTGGAAGGAGAGAGGGGAAAGAAGCGAGGAAGGGCATTAGAGGGATCAGAAATGACCGTTCCCAACCCACAGGCCTTCACACAGGCCTCTTGTCCCAGGAAGGATGGGATGGAGTCTTTCTAAGCTCAGAGCTGAGGCTTGGGCTGCAGAGTTGGTGCTCCCGACCTCTGTTCCCAACAGAGGGCCTCAATGGAGGCTGGAGCTGGTGCTGAGATTGAGCTTGGCTCAGAAAGCCCCAACACCTCAGGCAAGTGAATGCAGCTGGTCTGTTGGAAGCCTTCATCCTGCAGCACTACCTGCCCCCAGCCCCATGCCCAAATTGACACAGCTCCAAGCACATGTAACAGTTTCCCACTGTATGGGTGGTGAGTTCACTTTGTAGCCTTGATTTACAGGCTCAGTGGAGAACAACTATGGGGCACGGAGAACCAGTACAGAGAGCAGAGAACCAGTATGCAGTAGGGAGAACCCATATGGGTGATGGGAGCTCTGTGCTGAGCTGGGTGTGAGGCAGCTCAATGGAAGCAAACCGCCTGGGGTGGCATCAGCTGATCAGCCCCTGTGACTGCTTGCTCTGCTCTCACACACACAGGAAATTCTGCTCTCACACTTCCCAGCACAATCAGCTAATTAGTGGAGGTTTGTTATTTTAATGTAGTTTATTCATATGTGACAGCTAGTAAAGGAGGGGTGAGGGAACGTGGGGGGAGAAAGGAAGAAGGTGAGGTCTTAACTTCAAGGTCATGGAGAAGCTTGAACTAAACGGTCCCTATCACAGAGTCACTCACATAATTGCACCTCACCAACAATTAACAGGATTCAATCACAAAAAAAAAAAAAAAAAAAAAAAAACACCACAGCGAAAACCTGATTCTAAACCAGCTGCGTTGTCTCATTTCTCTTTTTATTTACAGTCCCTGTGAGAGGCACTCAGAGTGAGCAGGGTGACGGGTCCCAAAGCAGAGGTGTCAGCAGGGGCTCCTGGGTCCCTGCGTGCTGCGACAGGGAGGTGCTGCTCCACAGAAGCAAAGAGATTAATCAGACCCCCTACAACGCACCCAGAAGCCATCGTGACAGCCCCTAATCCCGTAACATGACAGCCCAATACAAACACACTGAAACTTTAGACCTGCTGTCCAAGAGCCAGAGAGTGGCTGCTTAGCGTAAACTCCTGACAGCTTCAGACACGCTTCCCCGTCACAGGCTGCAGGAATACCCCCCTGACAAATCTATCGGCCTCCCACACAAAGTGAGACAAAACGCTTTCCTAATGTCCCGAATGCATCCCCCCTCTGCCCCAACTGCATCCCTGCAGGAGCAAGAGCAGCTCCCAGCCATGCGCCTGCAACAGCAGCAGGTGTGAGCCACACACGTGTGGCTTACAGCATCCCATCTCCCCCAGGCATCCCCGCACACCTCCCCAAGCGTCTCCCTTTCACACCTCCCCCCCCCCCCCGCACACAGCCTCGTGCCTACAGATGGGCGCCCGCAATGCTGCCGAAGTCTCTGCATGTTGGCACCTTCCTTTCCCATCACATTCCCGCTCTATTTAGGGCAGAAAGTGCCGGCCGCTCCCGTGCGCAGCAGTACCGTGCTGGGACTCTGGGGAGGCTGCTGTGAGCTCCAGCTGGAGCCTGGCCAGGACCCCGACAGCTCACTGTGTGCACTCGGCGGGGGGCCAGCAGTGCGGTGGGGCAGGTGGCCGGGGCCAGGGCAGCCAGTGACCCCGGTGCTTCCTTGTCCTGGCAATCAGGACAGCCGGCGTGATGGGTGCAGGGAGGGAGGCACGCAGCCACCCACTGCCCCCACCCCGCAGGCACGGCAGGTCCCATTATGCTGGGCTGGAGGTGAGCAGCCAAGTGAGCGCACCAGACGGCAAATGAATATATAAATATTTATCCAAAGGAAGAGGGGAGCAGACGTTCCCGAGGCTGCACTTGCTGCGTACGCAGCAGCTCCAGGGAGCCTGCAACTTGTCTTCTAGTCCTGGCCCCGTGGCACACACACCCCAATCCTGTCCCTCTGGCCCCCCAGCTCCTGCCTTTCCCTCTTGCACCTCTCCTGTCCCCTCTCCTGTGCTTGACTGCTTATTTTTAGCACGGCGATGCTCTTCTTTAACAATCTGGGCATCTTTCTGTGAAGTCTGAGTTAAAAATAAAGCAAGTTTAGAAGACGTACCTTTCCCATGATCTACCAAGCCAACCCTCCCAAAGACCATCTCTCCATCCCACCTGTGCCTGTATGACTGCAGGGAATCAGAACTCCCCCCTCCTCCTGCAACTCTGCCGCCAGCTCTCAGCAAGCCGGTGCATCTCTATCTCCCCATCCCTGATCTCCTCGTCTCTGGGGCAACAGGGACATTGGCAGTATCTGCATTTCTCCTTTAGGCTGACAACTTCCAACAGGGAAGGGAAACCCGGCTGGCAGAGAACCACTGAGAACGGCACTGGGGCTGGAGGGGAGCAGAGCATCCTCACACGTCCAGGTAGGGGGGCAGCAGGAGGCCCTGGATCCAGGAGTCCCTGCCCCAGCCCCCTCCCCACTCCACAACCCGCCAGGTCACCCCACGTCCGCACTGTGCTGTTTAAAGATTCCCAGCTAAGTAAACATCCCCCTTCATTTTCTTCTTCCAAATAGAAATGTTTTGATTTTGCATCAATCCGAGGAAGCCATTTATAACCTGAGCCTGTCACGGGGACTTTTCATCTCTGCCCAGGACGAACTCTCCCACATGCTCTATTTACACTGAGTGCTTCCTCTGAAAACAATGCCACCGGCAGCATGCCTGCCACCCCCTCCCCACGCCCTGCCACCAGACACCGGCTGCCCTGCACCATCCTCAGGACATCGCTCCCTTCAAGGAGGAGCACAGCACCCAGCAGTGCTTTGGGCTGGGGACACAAAGGACCCCGGTGTGGAAGAGAGGGGTGCTGAGCCCGGGGATGGAAACCCCGTGGGGTGGGGCAGGGCAGGAGGGCTCAGGGCTATGCCATGGGATGGGGCACAGGATGGGGAGGGCCAGCGCGGCGGCACTTCAGAGGGCCGGGCACGTCGAACAGATGGAGCTTTCATATTCTTATTGAAGAGTTTTCAGCCCAGCTGAGCAGCTCCGTTCAGGAGGGAGGTCCCAGCGCCAGCTTTCCAGGAGCTGCAAGCTCTCATTCGATTAATTATTAACAGTATTATTTGGGGCGGGGAGGGGGAGGGAAGGAGGGCCCACAAGCTGCATGGCCTTTTCTTTTTTTAACCACTGTGGTTCGAGTCCAGCATGGCAGCAGAAAGCCGCAGCCGTGCCCCAGCCATGCCCAGAGCGGTGCATAGCAGCCGGGCACAGCCCCTGCAGGGACATCTCCCCTGGCACTGGAGCCCTGCGCCAGCCCAGGCAGCCCCAGCCCAGCCACGGTGTGAGAGTGGATGCAGTGTGTGTGCTTTCCCCTCTCTGGTTTATCAATAAAACATTTTATTGCTTTTAGCCCAGGAAATGACCTTGGATTAGTGGATGCTGCCTCTTCTGCCTGGCCTTGGGGACTTCAGTGAGGCTCTTTAGCAGCCCTGCGTCCTGCCCACATGTCGGCATGGAGCGAGGGGAAGCCCTGGGTGCACACAGAGGAGCAGCACAGCACAGTGAGCCATCCTCCTGCCTTCCCCACTGCACTGCGCTGTGCTGCCCATCCAGCAAGGGGCAAAGGGAAGTCCTCGAGCTGCAGCACGGTTCTCAAAGCCTGCAGGGTGCTGCAGCCACAAGCCAGCCTCACTGTCCATGTCCCCTCCCATCATCCCAAGCACACAGTTCTGCCCCAGGTCGCCTTGTGCCCCACGCAGAGCTGAACCCCCTCGCACCATGCAGCCTGCAGTTGGTGTGAGCCTGGCCTCTGCCACCCCCACGCCCGCTCCCTGCAGCCGCGTCCGCCTCAAGAGTGAGCCCTAAAGTGTTAACGGCGATTGGTGAAATGGCACAGCAGATTGCTACAATAAATAATTTACTGATATTTATAAATATTCAAATCAGCAGGCTTCAGAAATTGAAAGGGGGGGGCTGAGACGATGGGGAGGGGAGCGCACACGCGCGTGCGTGTGTGTGTTTGTGTGTGTATGTGGAGGGAGGGGGGGCCAACATTAATTCCCAGGCTCTCCAAATTCATTTGAGGACTGTTTCTCATTTCAAACAAATATTAAATCTTTTGGTGTCAGACCTCCAAATAAAGCACTGAGCGGAATGTGGGGCACCTGCAGCTCCGTCCCCTCGGGTGGCTGCGGGCAGGGTGAGGAGCCATGCCACCGCCCCAGCTCAATGCCAGCCCTCATCCAGGGCAGAAACTGCCATTGCTGCCCCCGAGAAGCCGCAGGGCTCCTGGCTCTCACTCCTTGCTCTGTAAGGAAGTTCAGTTTCAGGGGTCAAAGCAGGAGGTTCAAGGCCAGGAGCCCTGGCACAGTGTCTCTGCCAGCCCCCAGCTCTCTGTGCAGAGGAGGAGTGAGGATGAAGACCCACACAGCTGAATCCCACACCTTTCACTGAGGTACGTGGTTAGTGGGCACAGAGGGGACGGGTTGGGGTCAAGCTTTGCGATCTTCGAGTTCTGTTCCAACCTTAATGATGCTATGATTCTAAGAATATCGGGATCTCTGAGCTCACCCTGAGCCTCCTGCACGCCTAGTGCCCTGCCTGAGCCCTGGGACGGCCGCAGGAGGTGATCCTGTGTCCTGCCCCATAGCACCCCATTGGCAACGCCAGGCTCCAGCATGGGGCGAATTTCCCCAGATGAGTAATGGCTTTTCTAATGCACGGGCAGGCTGTCAGCTTCCCTACTCCCAGTGTTTTATGGGTTTAACTGAACGGCTCTGAACTCCCTAGTAAGAAATAAAGTTATCCCTCAGCGTCCCTTCTAAACATTTCACTCAGTGCAAACGGTGTTTAAGAAAAATGAGGACATATTTCTTCTTAAGGATGCAGTATCCCCCTTCAGAGGCCTAATTTATGCCATATATCACTGGCCAGGGAG